ATGAAGGATCAGGAAGACTGAGTCAGGGGAGGAATAGAGGAGAGTAAGAAAACTGATGCCTTAATAGAGGGAGCCATTATAGGCTTAAAGAGAAATCTGGAACTAGGGAAATGTCCAGAGATCCACAAGGATGACTCCCACTAAGAATCTAGGCAGTAGTGGAGAGGCTGCCTTTGATGTCCTTCCCTGATAATGAGATTGATGACTACCTTAATTGCCATCATACAGCTTTCATCCAGTAGCTGATGGAAGCAGAAGCAGGCACCCACAGCTATGTACTGAACCATACTCCTGGAATCCAGTTGTAGAGAGGGAGGAGAGATGAGCAAAGGAGTCAAGACTGTGCTGGAGAAACCTACAGAAACAGCTGACCTGACCAAGTGGGAGCTCACAGACCCCAGCCAGACAGTTGGGGAACCAGCATTGAACCCAACCAAACCCTCTGAATGTGGGTGCCAGTTAGGAGGCTTGGGCAGTCTATGGGACCTCTAGCAATGGAACCAGTATTTATCCCTAGCATAAAATGGACTTTGGGAGCCCATTCCCTATGGAGGGATACTATTTCAGCCCAGATACACAGAAAGCAGCCTACACCCTCACCCAAATGATGTGACAGACTTTGATGATCCCCCATAGAAGGCCTCACTATCCTTGGGGAGTGGTCCTGAGAAAATAAAAAAAGCCTTTGGTTTTTAATTGACTGAAAAAAAAATCATGGAAGCCTACCCAAATTTCTATATGTTAACCTTTCACCTATTATCTTAGCATTTTCCTTTTATTCTTACCACTTCTCTAAGATATACTGGGTGATGTTTAGAACCAACAAGATAAACTGAAAAAGGAAGGTGTGGTAATTTGACTGCAATTGCCCCCCTCCATCTCATAAGGAGTGGCACTATTAGGAGATGTGGTTGTGTTGGAATGAGTATGGAGGAAGTGTGTCACTGTGGGGGCGGGCTTTGAGGTTTCCTATACTCAGGGTACCTTCCAGTGTCTCAGTCTACTTCCTGTTGCCTGAAAGGACTCTCAGCTACTACCTACATGCCACTGTGCTCCCTGCCATAATGTACTGAAACTGAGCCCCCTCAATTAAGTATTTTCCTTATGAGAGTTGCTGAGGTCATGGCATCCTTTCACAGTAGTAGAAACCCTAAGATTTTTCAAAAGTCAAAAGGGTTTTACTTTATTATTTATTTATTTATTAAAGCTATTCCAAGAGAAGGTCTCTTTCATTGCCTGAGTAAAGACCTGAACTGAGATGGTATCTGGTAAAAAGCATTCCGCAGAGATTCAGGGAACAACACACACAAAATCCCTAAGATGAAAGCAAGCCTAGAATGTCTGAGGAAGATGCTGATGTCAGTGTGTCTGGATCCCAGTGAATAAACAAAGTGGGGCTGGAAATAAGCAGATCTGCAAAGGCCTTTGTGGACTATTATGGTGTTTTCAGCTAGTACTCTCGGTGTAATGAGAAGCCATTGAGGGTCTAAGCAGAGGGACATTTCATAGGGCCGGAGGTTTTGGGGGTGGATGCATGTGTAATTTTGTGTACACATTTGACTGGGTTAAGGAATGCCCAGACAGCTCATCCAAACATATTTATGGTTTTTTCTAGTGGTGCTCAGCATGTAAATCAGCAAGCATACTAAGGGAGGTAGGTATATCCTCACCACAGGGCCTCCACAGAATGAAAGTGCAAAGGAAGAGTGAATTCTCTCTCATAGAGCTGGGGTAATCCATCTTCTTTTGGCCTTAGACACCAGAGCTCCTGGGCTGAGACCTTTGGAACTCCAGGACTTACAGCACAGGCACTTTCCTGATGTCAGGCCTTTGACCTTGGACTAATTACATTAATTACACCTGGTTCTCTTCAGTCTTCAGATTCTGACTGAATTAGATGACTGGATTTCCTGATTCTCCTTCTTACTAATGGCATACCCTTCTGAGACTCTGTAATTAAATCATTGTGTGTGTGTGTGTGTGTGTGTGTGTGTGTGTGTGTGTGTGTAGAGAATTCGAAGACAGAGTAGAAGCAGAGAGATTAGTTAGATATTGCAGACAAGAGTTTTATTGAAATTTGGTTTCAATTCTTGAAAATCTTAAAAGAAAAAATAAGATGTTCCAGTTTTTAGTACATAGAGTTGACGGTAGTCAAATACATAGGAACGTCACTAATTTTAAAGATAATTTTATTGGCACAGGTATTACCACCAGGCCTGGAGAGACATCTCAGCAAAGGACACAGGTCCCATTTTGAGCACTTATGTGGCAGCTCACAGCCATCTCTAATTCCATTTTCAGGGCATCTTTTCTGTCCTTCAAAGGCATCAGACACACAGTTGGTGCACATACATACATGCATGCAAAACACCCATACGTACAAAACAAAAATAAGAAAGCCAAGAAGTCATTTAAGTATTAACTTCAACTGGAAGAGAGAAAAACCCATGTAAGTTACAAACAGCCCCTTGGCGCATCGATTTCCTACAAACAGGAAGCTGCTTGAGAAACCCCTTTGTCCTTTGCAAATACTGGAGGAAAACACAGGATCCAGGAACAGGGGACAGATCAGGTGTCTATTCATAAAACGGTGTTCTACCTTTCACCTTACACAGGAACCTGATTATTCAGTAGAATTCCATCATTGTGACTGCTATTTGCTTTTTTTTTTTTTAAATTTAAAGTTTCCTCGATCAGGAAAAGGCATACCTGGACCTGGTAGAGATCATAGGCTCCTAGGCTTTAAAGATTTAATGGACCTTTTGGGGGGTTAGGATCAAGAGTGCATGTATTTTGCATGTGGGGAGGATGCAATTATAACCCAGAAAAAGCAGACTATCGTTAAGTTAAATTGGTCTCCATTACTCCCTACCCTAAACTAGAAGTGTTTTGCATAAGAGTCTTTTTGCTATGCTGCAAATAGGCAAGGGGTTATCCTTTTGACTTTGTATTTGGCCAAATGACTTTCTTTGGTCAATGGGATAGAGAACGAGTGACAAGTGCAAACACTTGAAATATTTGCCTGTGGTCTTCCTGCTTTTGCTTCTGCAGCCATCATGGGAAGGGCTTGTCTGGGGTTTTCAGCAAAGGCACTGGTGACTCTGAGATTAGAGCACATGGTATGCCTTGATATTAAAACTAGTGGAGTAAAGAGATGATAGGAACTAGAATCAATCTGCTACAATGGGAGTGGTGAGATGTGTTTAGCTTCTGGGTATACTTTATAGGTAGACCCCACAGATTTGATGGGGGAAAAGTGATAAGTTAAGGGTGAATATGGAGATTTGGGACAGGAAGAATGGAAGAATAGAGTGGCAATTTGCAATGTACATTATGTTAGCAAGTTATCACGTGTTGTTTGAAGTCAATGAGAAGCTAGCCCTGGAAGCTGGTTGCCCCGCCCTCCATTTTCATACATGTCTGTCTCAAAAGTGTCCTCCAAACCAAGTGTAGGGGTGCACGCCTTTAGTCCCAGCACTCTGGAGGCAGTGGCAAGTGAATCTATGTGAGTTCAAGGCCTGCCTGCTCTATATAGGTCTATATAGTGAGTTCCAGACAGCTAGAGCTACATCGTGAGAACATGTCTCCAAAAAACAAAAATAAGACAGAAAAAGTATCCCTTGTCTGAGAATGGGCTGCCACATAACTATGTGACAGGGAGAGAAGAGAATCTCAAAACAGCCCACAAGTAAAACCTTTCCCTTGAAACCAGCTAGATAGAAGGCAAAGTATCTCCAGTGGATGTTACTACTCTTTGTCCCACCATGTAGGGAGAAACCAGAAGAAGTTCACCAATGGAAAATCTCATCCATGGACAGGAAGCTCAACTAGGAACTCCAACTGACAGCCTCAATTTCTCTAGTTGGTTTCTGCTGGATGGAGTGAATGCCCAATTTGATGATGCCATCTGTATCTGTTGCACTTTGTGATTTCACTTAGAAGCCTCACCAGAGGGGACACTGCTCTTGCCCAGGATTCTCTCTACCAGGAACTCTAGCTGGCTGCCTCAATGGGACTTACTAGTTGATTTCTGCTAGGGGTTTTAAGCATTCAATGTCTGCATGCCTGCTTGCCTTCCTGTCTGTCTATCTACCTCTATCATCTACCCCTATTTATTCTTTTATGTTAGACATATATACTTAATAAACTCACTTATTCAAACTGAAAGTATAGCTATCATAGATCATTCTCCAGACTACATAGAACACTATTTTCTCAGGAGGAAAACACCAAGAGAACTACAGCCTAGATGTGGCAATATCAGGAGTTGTTCTGCAAGTTTGTTTTGAGAAACCTTACATCCCAATAGGAATGATAGGTAGGCAGTTGGCTATACAAGGTTAGAGTTGGAGGGAAGCAAGTTCTGGTAATTACACGGAGAGGTTTATGCAGTCATGAGACTGGATGACATGCACAGGTGAATATTAAAAAGGAGCCCTGTGCTTGGGTTTAAGAGGGCCATCAGTGTCTAGTGGTTGGAGTAATAGTAATCAGCAAAAGAGACTTTTAGGGATGGCTATAGACTCAAGTTGTCTCAAGAAGACAAAGCAAACAAAAACTATAGGTTGTGTGGCTGATGCAGCAAATATTTACCACTAGTCCAGCATGTGAAGATGATGACCCATACCTTTTCAGTGAGTGATTGCTTGCTATGGCAACTGAACATCACTGGGGAAGGTACAATCCTATTACCTTTATAACAACTCAAACCATTAAAAAACCTTAGGGCTCAGTACATAGCTCAGTCAGGGTTCAGGGTCATTACCACCATCACCAAGAAAAAAACAGAAAGCAGAGTGTGTTTCAAAGGAAGCGAAGTTATCAGCAGAGGAGAAACATGAAGCTCAGATTCCAGGGTTAGCAGAGCAGCTTTACTCGCAGCTATCAGACCACGTAACCCGAGGTCTGGAGCCTCAGGTACTGCGAAGCTCAATTCCAGGTGTTTAGACCCAGGCTGGGGAAAAGAAGAGTCAACCCTGTTCCCAGGGAAATTCAAAGGGTGTGCTTCAATGGCATGTTTATTAAACAAATGCTCATGACAGATTTTCACAACAGCAACAAATGTTATTCCACAACATCACATTTCCTTACTGAGAAAAAATGACAATCGCAACACTGATGGATTTGATGACTTTCTCATGTTTCCTGGGGGTAAAGCCAGTGTCCTCACTCGTTGTCCTCTTCTTTCTCTTGGTCGCCTTTGTCTGACTTCATTTTCTTTACCTCTTCTCTGGCTACATGTCCCCGGAAGGCTGACTGGATTTTGAGAGCAGCGAACTCTTCCTTTTCTCTTTCTTCCTCAGCAGACTCCTCCTTCATTGAGAGGAGACAAAGTGAGAGACATTTCCAGAATGCTGCTTTTTTTGATGCCGCAGAAATGAATGTATAGATTTAACTGATTTACAAATGCAACCATTTGAGGGCTGTTGCTTCCTGGGGGGATTTTAGACATTATCACATTGTGTGTGTACCAAAGGCTGAATGCCTAAAGAGCAGGCATTCAGCTTGCCACTCTTTAATATGTCTTAATACAAGATCATTGCCAGCTTCTTTTCTCTTGTTCCCAGACAGCACCTATTTAAAGTTGCCTGAGAAATAACATTGTGTTTAGGGTGGGGAAGCAAGAAAGAATCCTTGAAGTACTGTGTCAGTGTTAACATCAGTACATGTGCTGTCTTGAAGTAATTGTGATTATGTAAGATGGATAAAAATGTTAATTCTAATTTCTAAATGTTTAGACAGTCAAAATCACACATTTAAGGTGGAACATCAAAGAGAAAGTCAGTTTATTAATATTGGACTTATCAGAGTTGGCTAAACAGGGACATACGGTTTCTTCTTTTGCTTTTAAATTTAGGTATAGATGGCAAAATTCATGGATCCTAAATGTATGAATATATGAAATGAAAATATATATGGCCCTTAATATTTCTTTGTTAAGTTACAAAGATGATAAGCACACATTAAAAAACCTCAAGTTATCACTTGTAGTGAAAAGTTGAAACATTTTCACTTCCCCTGATATTGCTCCTAAAAAGTAACCATTATTGTAGGTTATGTGTCTCTGTGTATATTTCTCTATTTATGAGTCCATTTACATGAGACACATTTGTTTTTCATTTTAAGACAAAGCCATACTAATTGGAGTGCTCTACAGCTACTTTCCCCATGAACCAACATATTCGGATTCTCTTTGCTTTGCTATTATTTCATATATAATTTTGTTCAGTTTTAATGGGAGGGACATAGCCACTGTGTTCCATTGTACTGATATCACTCACCAGAGATTTAGTCATTCAGTAAACAATTGACGGATCTTTGAGCTGTTCAATCCCCTCCATTACAATGAGTTAAGTTAATCTCTTAAAATTTTTTTTCCAAGACCGAGTTTCTCCATGGCTTTGGAGGCTGTTCTAGAACTAACTCATGTAGACCAGGCTGGTCTTGAACTCACAGAGATCCTCCTGTCTCTGCCTCCCAAGTACTGGGATTAAAGGCGTGCGCCACCACCACCCGGCTAAGTTTAGCTCTTAAACTTTAAGTACAAATAGACTGGCATAAAATTCTTTGAGATGATTCTCTAATATGGGCAAGTGAATTACTATTAAGTCAAAAATCAATGAAACAGTAACACAAACTTATAACAGCTTATAAAAGAGCATCTATAAGAAAAATAAGGAAATGTTTCTGTCTTTCTATATCCCTGAATTCCTATTACATCTGATGCCACTGTTAGACTAATTGGATTGTATCAGTATTATTCTAGAATAGTTAAATAATGTAAGGAAAGGTTGTATCTCAGTAGGGTATGTTCATTTTAGGTATCAAAATTGCTAACTGAGATACTAGGACACGAAAAAGAACTCAAAGGTTTGAACTCTAAAATCGTACAGAATCAATTCTTTTACACAAAACCTGATCCTCTTCCTCCTCCTCCTCCTCCTCCTTTTTTTGAGACAGGGTTACTTTGTGTAACCTTGGCTGTCCTAGAACTAGCTCTGTAGAGCAGTCTGGCCTTAAACTCACAGGGATCTGTCTCTCAAATGCTGGGATTAAAGGCTTGTGCTGCTGCCACCACTACCAGGGAAAGCCTGGTTTTCCGTAGTTTGGACTATGAAGAATATAGGCAGTGATGTTCTGGTAAATGTTTAACTGGCTCTACAGAGAAATAATAGAACCAAAAAATATCGCCCTCCTAAATAGCACCAAAGTTCTGGTTTGTAGTGTTTATCTTAGTCTCAATACACTTAGATGACTGGTTTTAAGTTATCAAATTGATGTTTGTTGCATTATACACAATTATCTCCAAGTAATGGCTTTAGCACACCACTGAATAGAGATAGGTAGTATCTTTGTGGGTGGAGTTTCCTATTTGAGTGTGGCTTGGATGTAGAATATCAAGGCAGGCAAGCATTTCTATAGAAGAACTTGCAGGGAACATGAGTAAGTCATACTGTGTAAGGCCATTTTATTTGGTGGTATGTAATTGTTTTCCTTTAATTATCTCTAACCTTTGCCCAAAGGAGAATATTAATTTGAAAGATGAGATAAGGTTCCAAGTTGATCTGTCTGCCTCTTTCCCATGGAAAGATTGTCTGATCTAGATTTTTAAAGGGAAGAATGGGTTTATGAAAATAATCTGCCAGCTTATCACTGATGTTAACCATCTAGAAAGCATGATTCTAATTTCAATAATAACTGGTATGCTGATATATATTTTGTACACAACTTTGAACTTAGTAATGCCATTGTGTGTAGGAATACAAAAGTAAATGAAAAATACTACATACAAAGGCTGTAACTGGTGTTTCTTCTCTTCCTGATGACTTGGCCATTTCTTGTTCACATTTCTCAGTTTGTTCTTGGTCCTAGAAAGAAAAGAGAGGGCCATAAAGGCATTGTTTTGAAGATAGCAAACTCTGGACAGACCAAGCTGCATAAGAGAAACTGGAAGTTACAGTATTGAGAAGCATGAGGAATTAAAGATATATAAGTTTGTTTTTTTTTAAAACAAGAATTTGTATTGGAAAAAAAGGAATGAAAACTGAGGGAACAAATCACTGCCTCACACTGAAGGTTTGGTAATAAATCTTGAGGACAGTATGAAAAAGAAATTTATAGTCTCTACAATAGCAATAAAACAGCAGTCAGTGTATTACTTAGTAGGAAGCCAGGTTGACTTTAGTGACAATTATACATTAAAGACTAAGTCATTATTGCAGAAGAGAAGGGGATTTGGGAAGAGATGGTAACAGAGGATAAACATGATCAAAGCACCTTATGTGCATGCATATAAATGTCAACCATTAATTTGTGCAATTAATATACAATACTATGTGAAACGGAGGAAGTCAGTTTCACTTTGGGAAAAGATATATGTACAAAGAAGGAGTCAGCTCAGCCTGTCCTGACATAAGTAGTCCAGTCTTCTATAAAGGAGACACTGCTCACTCGCTGCCTCAGAAAGAAACTCTAACACAGAAAACCGGAAACTGAGGATATGTAAATGAATAACTTAAAACCCTGAAAACCCAAAGTAAAAGAAACTCCTTGAATTTCTATGTGACACAAGGACATAACATTTCCAACATTATCTCTTTCATTTCAATCAAAAACAATAATCTGATAAAGATAATCTGGTAAAACTAGAAATAAAAGGAACCACCTCATACATGCAGGAGTAAATGGATAGAAATTCACTTTTGAGTGCAAAGTAACAGCTTCTACAAAAACATTCTCCAAATCTACTGGAGAACATTAAAACCTGGAGGTTGTCAATGTCGCTTGAGTCTACATCTGAGAAAATGGTATTTCCCAGGCTGTCTAGAATAGTACTAGTACTCTAAAATTTTTTAATTTATTGTCTTTTGTGGTTGTTGCTATTGCTGTTTTGAGACAGGGTTTGTCTGTGTAGCCCTGGTTGTCCTGGAACTTGCTCTGTACATCAGGCTGGCCTAGAACTCAGAAATCTGCCTGCCTCTGCCTCGAGTCCTGAGATTAAAGGCGGGCACACACACACACACACACACACACACACACACACACACACACACACACACACCAAAGTAATCCTTTTGTACCAGGGAAATGAAGAAGTTGGACTAATGGTTTTCTTTTGTGATGTTCAATAAAGTTTAAAGAATAACAGGGAGGGGAGTAACTGTGTGTTGATCAAGCTCCTTCTCCCGTTCGCCATCTTTAAATTCATCCTAAGTATCAGTACTCAATTCAGATCATTGAGAAGAGTTCTCATTATAAAGATGTTCTGTTAAGTTTTTAATAATGCTTGTCACACTTCTCAAAAATTGGGGAGACCATAACAATTTCTTTTATGAATAGAAAAAATATAGCCACATCTGGCAGATTCATAGGACTATACCTTGAATGCGTGGTTGTTATAGAAGCGGTCCTCTAGCTTAGCCCCCCATTCTGCTGGATCAAAGCTGGTCTCTAAATAACAAAAATAGTTTTATACTTATTTTGTGTTCATTATAGTAAATCAAGAACAATAACAGGAACACAAGATTCTTGTTTCAAATCATAGGTTCTTTACTGACAGCTTAAAATCTTCCTGACATTGAACATTCCAGTGCCTCAGGCACAAATAATTACTATTATTTTTTCAAAGATTTATTTATTTATTATATATACAGTATTCTGCCTACATGTCAGAAGAGGGCACCAGATTAAATTGTAGATGGTTGTGAGCCACCATGTGGTTGCTGGGAATTGAACTCAGGACCCCTGGAAGAGTAATCAGTGCTCTTAACCTCTGAGTCATCTCTCCAGCTCCACAAATAATTACTAAATATATGATGACTAGTTTAACACTGAATGAGTCTTTAAGGGACATTTACTCATAAGGAAATGGGAGAGAAAGAACAAATGTCAATATTTTAAATAAATAGACACATAAAACATGCATAAAAGCACGAGAAATATGGTAAGGAGACTGGAAAAGTGAAAAACAGGGAGGGTTTTCAAATGACACACACTATGTAGACAGCTACCATCAACAACAAGCATTTCCATCCAAGATAATTTAATTTGCTATCATGACGAATTTCAAACTCCAAAAGTAGGATTCTCTTAGCAAGCCCATGTGTGTATCACCTAGAGACTACAGCGATCAAATCATTTTACCTACACATTTTCTTCTGGTTAGTTTTCAGACCAGCTCCAAGCACCATATTAATTTAATCTACAGATACTTAAATTTGTATCTCTAAAATAGACTTTAAAATATAAGCATGTACCATTGTCACATCTAAAATATTAACAGCTCCTTACAATCATCCTGTATCTAGCCAACTATCCAAAATTGTCCCCACTGTCTAATATAGTTATTTAGCTTGGTCATATCAGAGGCTCAAAATGGACACACAATGTCTTTTGTTTTGCCTTTTAAAGAATTTGTAGTGGAAAATTCACCATCATTTTTTCTGTGCAAATTGTTTGTTGATGAAATTGGGCCAGTTTTCCCTTGGAATTTTCCAGTGCAGATATTTCTGACTGTCTCCACAGGGGATTTTAACAGGGTCACTTGCCCTTGAATTCCCTGTAGACTGGTAGTTCGATTTGCAGGCTTCATCTGATTTAGGTTTGATTGTTTTGGCAAAAATACTCATTGATAGTGCTACTTAATCTCAGAAGATAAGTCATATCCTGCTCTCTCTAGCTTTTAAATAAATTTTATGGGCTCCTGATGATTGGTCCTTAACTTATTTAGGGGTACAAGATGATAATGTTCTAAATTAATCAGTACTTATTTTGAGGTGGACTCAAGAAAGAAAACAGCCAACCATTTGGTTACCCTGAAATATGGCTCTTACAAAAAAGGAAAGTTACAGGTTTGATTCCTTTACCAGCTTTCAGAATAATCATCCTGGCTCCCAGAACCTTCCTAGGTGGCCTGATAATGATGAGTTCTGTGTCTGATTTGAGCATTATGAACTCACAAACATTTAGTAACTTGGGTGAATGCTGGTCCATGGAGTTTTATTACTTTACTCGATTTTCTCTTTGTTCACTATTTGGTCAGTGGTGGCTTATTCAAGTGCTTGGATTCTCCTCTAGCAACCCCAGAAATCATGAGGAGCTTGTTTCCTAGATGGAAAGCCCAGTCTTACATTATTTATCCCATGTGTATAGAACTCACTGCAAGTCTGGTTCATGGGAAATGCTATTCAGACATGATGACATAGGGGATATATATCCACTAACATTTGGTTAGTCATGATTTTGAGGTTTCTAAATGTATGGAGCCAGAAACTACTTCCATTAAAAAGTACACTGTAAAACCGTGTGTGCATCTGTGCGTTTGTGAGTGCATGTCTCTATACCTCTATGGGCAAGAACATGATATGGCACATGATTGGAAGTCAGATGACAAATTTCAGGAGCCCTGTTCTTCCACCATGAGGGTCTTGGAGATGACCTTCAGTCTTCTGGGTTTTCACGAGGTGCCTTCACTCTCTGAGCTGCCTCCATTTTAAGATCACATTGGGATTTCTAAATTCAAGTTCAAGATTACAGGATTTTTATTAAACTATGTATAAAATTATTTTTTCTTACACTCCAAATTTTATTCCCAGTAACAGCAGCATGTTTACTTGATTTATTCTTTAATATACAGTTACAAAGTTTCAAGAATATCTCTATGTATTGGTCTGCCTTGAACACTGTCACCAATACCTGTGACAGATCAACTTAAAAGAGGAGTTCACAATTCATTTTGGTTCACAATTTTAGAAGGATTAATTAAAGATGGATTTGCTTTGTTGTTGGGCCAGTACAAAGTTAAAACACCCCCTCAAATATTTGGGTTGTTTTCACAAATAATACTATAATAAAAAGCATAGAAGTGGAACTTCTGGGATGCAGGTTAAATAAATATGGAATTCTGGCAGATACTGCAGAATTCCTTTCCTTTAGGTTTTATTTTACATCTCTAGTAGGAATGGGTATAGGGCTTATGTCTTTTAGCCATATCTACAAACCATACTGTCAAACTCTTGCCTCTCTAACCGTATGATGCAGGTGTGGTTGTTGGTAGTTGAGTGTAATTTCTTCTATTTTTCTTTATGTGTATTTGTGTGTGTGCCTATGGAAACAAAGAGGAAGTCAGATTCCATGGAACTGTAGATACAGGCAGATGTGAGCGGCCAGGAGTGGGCACTGCTATCTGAACTTGGGTCCTCTGGAAGAGCAGTAAGTGTTCTTTACCCACAAACCATCTCTCTATCTCCAGTTGAGTGAAACTATGATTTGAATTGTTATTATGGCCCAGTTTGACAAAATTTTCATGTTAAAGGCTATTTGTGTTTACTTTGTGTGAACTGTTTGTTGGTATAAATGTGTTAGAACACACTATTTTTACAAGCTCTTTATTAGGTTTATTAACTTACTGGAATGTAAATTGCAAGCAATTTTTTCTCAGTTTGTTATTTGTGTTTTTGTTTTCTTCATGCTGCTTTGTCACATACAATTTTACTTTTTATGCTGTCAATTCTATCAATCTGTTCCCTTGTTGCATTTGGGTTTTAAACAAAGAAGGCAACTTAGCAAGCAAGATGTTTTCTTAATTGATGAATTATATTTTCTTTTAGCATCTATATGGGTTTTTTCATATTTAAATTTTGAGTCAATTTGTAATTTATATGTATGTATGATATAAAGAACTGATGCTCTTCTGTTTTTCTATTCTTATTTCAGTATAATTTAAGAAGTCCATATTCTCCTACTGATTTGACACACCATTTACATTGTTTATTAACAGGTTTCCCATCACAAAGAATGGAGAGGAAAACTACCTGTGAAAAATGGTGACAAGGGAAATCTTGCAGTATGGGAGATCAGACTAGAAATCACAATGACTTATTTTGCCTTTGCTTGGGAAGGCTAAATTCTTACACTGCATCAGTTGGGAATTCATGTGAAGTTCACATAGGTGGAAGTGGGCGTGGTGGTTAAGTTTTTATCAAATGGTTTTTAGTCATTGTTTATCATCATCAATTGTTTTTATTACTGTGACCTGGTAACAATGACTCAAATATTTTTTAATGGTATGTTCCTGAGTTCTAAAATTAAACTAATGACCGAAGGATTTTACTGCATGAGTTTGCAAAATTCATGTTGTAATAATAAAATTCATGTTTACAAAACTAGTACTCGTATCCAACGATCTTAATAGTCTTTCCCCGCTAATGATGTAGACTTTGCAGCAAATATTCACCACGACTAGATATGGGACAGACCAGCAGTAGTCAGGAAATGGGTGAAATTTCCAGTTCTTCAAAGGTAGGATCCTAAGGGACGGGGGTGGAATTGTTCAGTGTGTACGGGCGTGGTTTAGATTCCAGCCCTGATCTGGGTTTCCTCTCTCAGTAAAATGATTTACAAAGGAATGCCTATTTACTTGGGGCTACTTCTAATCTCCTTTGCCCAAAGTAATGATAACAAAACTTATATAACACGATGGTTTTCAGTACAAACATGATTGTAATCACTCCCTCATCACCAATCTTCAAGGTTGGGATTTGGAAACTGTATTTATGAATGGAAGTATAGGAGCTTCACTTTGGCTTGAAATCAAATAGTTACTATTAGCACGAACTTTAGTCTCTGCAGGATGGGACCTGGAGAGTACATAGAATGTAAATTACCTTCCCTAGCTGGCAACTCACTTGCCAAAGCAGTTTGTTTCTGTGCCTTCGTTGAAGAACAGTTTCATATACTGCAGCGAGAACCAATTTATTTAATCTAAGGAGCGTTGAATTATTTTTATAACACTTATAAATGAGAAGACTCAAGATTTAAAGAAAACTGCAAATTATCCTTTCAGGAAGAACAGGCAATCAGCTAGCAGGGATGCATAGAACAGGTCTTCCTCCTTCCACACCACGTATATGAGAAATACAGTGAGAATGGCCTGGTTTTTTGTTTGTTTTTCCAGACAGGGTTTCTCTGTGTAGCCCTGGCTGTCCTAGACATCACTCTGTAGACCAGGCTGACCTTGAACTCACTAAGATCTGCCTGTTTCTGCCTCTCTCAAGTGCTGGAATTAAAGGCCTGCGCCTGGCTTGCGGAGTGAACTGGCCCATACTGTTTCAAATAGCAAGAACTGTATTTGAAAGCACTTGCTTCATAAAGGTTTTCTGGACAATGTACATGATCTTAAGTTTTTGCTGTTTGTTGTTGTTACTGTTTTCTTTTTTGTGTATGAATGTGTTTTGGTGTTCGTGTGTGTGTGTGTGTGTGTGTGTGTGAGTGTGTGTGTGTGTGTGTGTACCTGTGTTTGCATATGTGTGGAGGTCACAGGCTGAAGATAGGTATATTCCTCAATCATAAGTTTTACCATAACAGAATGCTTAGTTTAGTTAAAAATTCCTATTTTTTTTAAAAAGAGCTTACTCTCTCTTTTTTCTAGAAGGTTTTCAAAATACGCTGCGGCAAAAGCTGGTATATTGTCTGGTTGCTCCCTCAGAATCTCCCGTGTCAGCCCTTCAAGAAGATTTCCAAATCCTTGTGGAATTCGGTAGTGGGTGTTGGAGAAAGGAATCGACATCTCCTTGGAAAGAATTGCCTATGGTACCTGAAGATTCAGTAAAAAAGTATCTAATTTTAATGTGTCTAGTTTAAATTATATAATCACAGTTACGACAAAAGCAATTCACAGTCACAACTCAAATTATTTCTCAGACATACATATTTTGGGCTTTACAAAGAAAAGTTCATACAATTTAGGCCTGATAGCAATCTGTCTCAGTAGGTAAAGGTAGACTGGAATGAAATCCCTGTAACCCACATTGTGGAGGGAGAGAAATGACTGTCACAACTGTCCTTTGCGCTTCCATTGGCAGGCTGTGTCCCCAGAATTACACCTCTGCACACATGCCACTCGATAAATGAAAACAAAATTGACTTCTACCATGTCTCCCATTTCTCCCAGAGTTTTGAATTCTATCGTGAATCATTGGTTTTTGTTTCGCTTTGTTTTTCCTTTTGAGACAGGGTAGGTATCTTTACATTGCCATCGCTGTCCTGGGACTCACTATTTAGACCAGTCTGTTCTCTAACTCAGAGATCGACCTACTTATATGTCTTCCAAGTGCCGGGATTAAAGTGTGGGACACCGTGGCCAAAGAATTATAGCATTACAAATGCAGATCCACGAATTTGGGCAAATCAATTGTTTTTTAAAGTTAGACAACCACAGTTTTCACTAGATATTAAGTACTTCATCTTCCTGTCTTTAAAAGGTGAGGGTTGTTTTTGTTAGCTCGAACTAATTTAAAAGACAATGGTTGCTGAGAAGCCAGTATAAGCCTTTTTACATTGCTGAGAAGAAACTAACGCTTAAAATTAAAAAGCAAACTGGTTAGCAGGGCACGATGGAGCATTCCTCTAATCCCAGCATTTCAGAGCCAGAGGCAGGTGGATCTATGAGTTCTAGGCTTGCCTGGTCTACAGGGCAAGCCCCAGGACATCCAGGGCTATACAAAGAAACCTTGTCTGGGAAAAAAAAAAAAAAAAACCCACAAACCAAACAAAACCAACGAAACAAGCAAAAAAAAAAAAAAAAAAAAAAAACCAAAACAAAAAAAACTAGTCTTGGTTCTAGAAATCATTATTGTTGAATAATATTTCACTTTCTTTTTCAGCCCCACTTCTGCAGTACGGCCTATGTCTTCAAGCGCCGCTGTATTCTGGGATGGGGCTCGGAAAGAGGCCGTGGTTTCGGAAGCCTTTGAAATCTGGGGCGTCTTATTTTCTGCTTTTGTTGGTCCTTCTATTGTGTAACTCAAGGGCTGGCTTATAGGTGGGTAACAAAGAGCGCCTGGATCACTGAGTAAGGGCTGCTTCGTGATTACACTTGGTACCCTGAGAGGCACGAAGGGTCTCTGGGAGGGGCCTAGGCTGGAGGACTCGAGGTTTAGCGAGGCCTGACCTGTGGAGAGTATTCCTTTCTCTTTTGGGCGGAAACAGGTGATTAAATATTGAATCTTCGAGGGGTGTGAAAGCCCTCAATTGGGCGGGGGGAGTGCGGGCCGTAGACGGGAGGACAGGTCAAACCGTGGGCGGGACGTCGACGACCTAACGTTCCAGATTCGCGAAGAAAGGGCTTTCCGGGCTCCCTATCTACTCCAGGAGTCCCCGGTGTGTCGGGGATGCCGAGAGACTAGGACACACGACGGAAAAGGCGAAGCCTCCACGTTAGAGGGGGGAATGGGGAAACTGCCTCACCTCTTCTTTCTCTTCAAGCTGGTGCGGATGGTTCCAGTTGTTTTATCTCGTTGCTGGGTAACCGTTTTTTTTTTCTTCAGCTACGGCGGCCCGGAAGAGCCTTGTGCTGAGCAGCGGAAGGTTTGGCGCACTGAAGGCTCGAGGGTGGGGCCCGCTGTGTGGCTCCGCCCAGTCCCCGCCCACCACTCACAGATCACGCCCCCGTCCCGCCCCCGCATCCGCCCCCGCCCTTGCCTAGGGCTCCTTCCAGAGTCTAGCGGGAGGACACGGATTTCCGCAAGTATGGTTTCCCTGGGGTCTGTGTTTGGCCTGCTGCTGCTCGTAATCGTTCGAGCCAGCAGAAGTGCAGGTGAGGTGACACTGCTCTGCGGGACTCTGACCTTTCAGATCTCCTGCAGAATCTTGGCTCTCGTTCCCTCTCAAGGTCTGGTGTGAGTCAGAACCGTTCGTTCCCCCCTAGGCCTGGCGTGTAGGTACTGCTGGGTGTCTGATGTCTTTATCCCCCACTCACCGCCCTTCATTTACAGCATAGGGGCAGAGAGAGACTTCGGTTTTTCAAATTAGGGAGGCTCCACTGTGCCCAGACCGAAGCCTTCAGGAGATCTCCGAGAGAAGGGGGCGAAGCTAGTTAGATAATATTTGGAAACAGGTGACTGAGTCATCCAAAATACTTCAGCACCTGCCCCCTCAGTGGTGCCCTTGGGGAGGGCTTCTATCGGGATGGGTGCCTTGAGGGAATTAAATTTTACTAGTTTAAGTGGTTATTAGGGCTAAGAAATTCAACCCCCTCACTAGCTTAGAATAATTTAAGGTTCAGCTCTGAATTTTGGTGCAGCTTAGAGAGATTGGTGGAGGGCTAAGGCTCATCACACTGGGGAAGGGGTAAAGTCACACTGGCCATTCTGCAGGTCAGAGCTTGTCATCTGACTAACCCGGGCTGGACATTGCCCCACAGCAAGGAGATACCAGAAGATAGGAATCTGTCTGTTCATTCAAAGTATGATAATGCAGAGTGATAATGCAGGATCTACCCACCCCTTTCTTCTTTGGATCACTGAAAGACTGGACCTCAAAGACTGTCAATAAATGAAATTTGGGGGGATGGGATTATAGCTCAGTGGCAGAGCTCTTGGCTAGAATGCTAGGAATTTGGACTTCTTGAAGGTCGAGGTGAGAAGAAATGGCATGATTGTCTTCTGCTCAAGCACCAGACAGACCCAGATCCAGCCCATCAATATGTTTTCAGAGTTTCAAAGCCAGTGGTCATTCCCCCTTTCTCATCCCTCTCATGACCTTTAGAACCTATCATAGGAGGTAGGGAAAAGGTAAAGACAGTAAAGCTACTTTAAAAAATTTTTTTTAGTTTTTCCCTTAAGGCCTGTCAAATTTAATATCACTGTTTTATTTCCTTTGGGTAATATTGCATGACCTTGATTAGCTCTTGACATTCAGCTGCAGATTTCTCTCCCTTTCTTCTTCCTTGCATAGCCTAACAGTTTTCTCTTAACACTTTCCTTTTGTAATAAAAAGTTACATCTAACAATGGAAGTACCTATGAACTCACCACGCTGTTTGAGAACTACAACACTGTGTTTTTATTGATACTGCCATTAGTACTCCTCATTAGTGCATCTGTTGAGTTCCCATCAGAAGTCACCACTATCCTAAAATTTTTGTTAGTCTACTAACTCATTCTTATTTTCCATTTCAATTCCCAAATGAAGGGAGAAATCCATCACCTTAAAAAGTTCCCATTTGAATATGCCTAGTTGTTTATGCGGTTCTTTTCTGTCCAATGCTCCGTGTTTCACTGCTCAGCTTAGAGTGTGAGCTTGGTAAGGATAGAGTATATCGTTTTTCTTTGCATTATCATCACTATCTAGCTGAAACAAAAACGAAATTATAGTACCTTTGGAATTAGATGACATGGATTCCAGTTCTGCCGTAAACTACCTTCCAAGGCCAAAGAAAATACTGTCTCAAGTATCTTCATCACTCTGTCAGATGCATAAGTGCCTAGTAGATTGTAAAATCCCTGGCAGAAGAATTTTTATCTATTATGGGTAGTATTTTCTCTCCACTGTTATAGCCTCGGTGTGCAAAATAGTGCCTGGCATACAGTAGGTATCAATAAACAGATATTTGCTGAATTCACAGCTGTTCTAACTAGTCTTAAAAACTGTTTCATCTATTTGGTTCCTAATCCCTTGATGAGTAATGTATTTATATTTCTTGATCAGTAAATAACATGCTTATACTATTATTATAAAGGTATTTTCCACCTCTAAAATTCTTTTGCTCACCATAGAGCCATTCACAAAGAGGTTCTATAAATGTGTGTTAGCAAACACAGACTGGCTGGAAAAGGCATTCCCCAGCCCATGGACTACTGGCTGCATACTCCAATATGTAAGCAACATTTCCTTCACTCCATTCCCAACTCCAGCCTTCTCTCTACTTAGCTCTTATTTATGCCTTTGCTTTCAGCTTTTGTTCTGTATCTATCCAAGACAGGGCCCTCCCACACATGTGCCTCCCGATTCCCCCAGCAGGCTGCCAACCTGCTTATGCAATTCTGGGATGTTGTGGTCCCAGAGTATTTTGCTCATGATACATTCATCTTGAGCTTGGTAAGCCTTCTGGATGAACTTTGATTGTCGTGTAGGCTTCATGATCAAACGAACTCCTGAGAGAAAGAGAGCTGAGGATTTTTAGGGACTAGTCTGCTACTCCTCAAGCTTGTGAGGAGACCCCCATTAGCTCTACTGCCCTGTTAAGTATAGCCTAAGGAGCCTGCCATCTTTTGTAGCTTCCAGGGAAGAAAATGTCAGCTTTGTTAATTCTAATTCTCCTTCCTGCCTATCACTTTTATTAAAAAAGACACAAAAACAAAAAACAGAACACCCTTAATTTTGTAAATTATTTTGTTTGGAGGATTTTTAAAAAAATCTTTCCTTTTGAGACAAATTGGGATGCAAGTTTTATGATTTTCCTAGTTAAATTTCTGTGAGCTCACTGGGATCATGTGGATCAATGCTTGTTATTTAAAAAGTACTTCGATATAGGCTATGAATTAAAAATAGAAGTGATCTCGTTAAAGTGAATTCTTATTCAGTCTTGTTAGTGACTCTTAGCACAGAATTCAGTATGCAAGTATGCCTCCTCTTTCTTCTGCCTGTAAAATGGTGACAAGACCTTTTCACTGAGATTTTTTTAACCTTCTGTCTCTCCATGATCTTATTTTTGTGTCCTGAATTTATCTGCACTTACCAGGAAGGGAGACTTGTCACGGTCATTAGAGTGGTATGACGGGTCATCAAAAACCAAAAAAAGCAAACCAGACAACAATGACAAAATACCAACAGTAAGCACTAAGAGAAATGATTTGAAGGGATTTGGCAATGGTAGGGTGGAAAGGAGGAGAGAAAGATGGGCACGGAGTTAGAGAATTGTGTTGGATATAGGCATTGCCCTTCTATTCCCTACTAGCTACTAGGAGTGGGCACAGTGAGGGAGAGTCGGGGAAGGAAGTGATTTGTTTTTCTTATAAACACCATCTGTGAGGTACATGGACGGTTCATTTTAGTGATGTGAGAAAGAAAAGTTAAGTGTTAGAGCCAAGTTTTAGAGCAAGGGTGTGCGGTGTGGGGTTGACCAGGAGCTACGCAGGGGAGGGGAGGAGAGTATGTTCATTGGTTGCTTCCTGGGTCCTGAGTTTACCTTAATGATCATGTTATGCTGTGATGCATATTGTTGGAAACTGTTCTTATTATGTTGCTATCTAGTTAAGAGTAACAAGACCCAGTTTTGGAAGATTACAAGGCTTGAGTAGATTCATATTCTTTTGTATAGGGACTGTGTGTTGCTTCCTGTTTTACCAGATCTCTTGATGCTCAGTCTCCCTGATGATATTCTCCTAAGTGTTTGCCAACATTTTTAGGTATTGGTTTTCGCTTTGCCTCATATATTGATAATTACATGGTGCTGCAGAAGGAGCCTTCAGGAGCGGTGATCTGGGGCTTTGGTACACCTGGAGCCACAGTGACAGTGACCTTGTGCCAAGGTCAGTGCCAAGGTCAGGACACCATCATGAAGAAAGTGACCAGTGTGAACGGTAAGGCCGCCCATTCTCTGCTCAGTTGTTGTCTTCTTCTGCCACCTGCTGGATTATTTGAAAATAAATGCTTATAGCTCTAGCTCAGGCTGTCCATCCATCCGTCCGTCTGTCCGTCCGTCCGTCCGTCCATCCTTCCATCCATCCATCCATCTGTAAAAGTTATTTGAGTATAATAACAAATATATAGCAAAAGTCCCTTTTGCTAAGTACCTTGTTGAACAGAACAAATTATGCAGAAGTTTGATGAACACTGGTAAATTATGTGTCGAGTTCTATGAGATAAGGAAGAGAGACATCTCCCTCAGCCTGGTTGCTATGGGAAAGCTGCCACAGAAGATCATATTTGTGCTGAATTTTTCATGCCAGAGAGACAGTCATTCTAGACTCAAGAGAGATTGCTCAGTGGGTAAGAGCTTTTGCTGTTCCTTCAGAGGACCTGGATTCAGTTTCCAGCAGTCACACTGCATGACTCGTAACTCCTTGTAAACTCCAGTTCTGGGGGATCTGATGCCCTCTTCTGGTTACTCCAGGCACCTGCATATACACGGTGTACATTCACACACACACACACACACACACACACACACACACACACACACACACACACACACACACACATTTTTTTAAAAAGTCTTAACATTAAAAGAAAGAGTAAAATTGGAGATCTAGCAAATAACTGTCTCTGGAGTTCACCATCTAGGTTATGATTCTGACTCATTTATGGGTATATAATTTGGGCATATGATCAAATATCTTAGTGACAGTATGTTTTCCATGTATAAAGTAGAAGTGGTAGTATTTCTTAGTGGATTACAGTGAGGAGTAAATGAGTAAACACATATAAAATACACATATAAAATAGTTGGAACAGTGCTCGGCACATTAACTTGTGTGGTCATTATTGTTACTGTTACTATCATTTACTCAGATATTCAAATATTTATTGAGAAGCTACTATGTGCCATATACCGTGCAAAGGTACTGGTGATAAAATGATGCATAAAACTGATTCAGTCTCTTCCTTAATGAGGCCGGAAGGCTAGAGGAGGCAGGAAAATGAAGAGCAGTTCTAGCTATGTGAGATATATGCCTCAGTAAGGAAGAGCAGTGTGTGTGGGAGCTTAGCATGGCAGTAGGCTAATGAGCTTAGTTTAAGACTGGTCTTGAAAGAGGAAGCACAGATTCAGTAGCAGGAACATCCTGGGTATAGGCACAGAGGCAGGAGTACATGTGTAACACCGGAGAAGCGCCATCTAATTGCATTGGTCTAGAATACTGGGCTAGGTGGCTGGTGGTGGATGACAGGCCATGGGACAGTATGGAGGCTCGTCTTTGCTAAAGCACATAAACCCTGGATCTATAGATTTTAAGCAATAAAAGTACACAAGCAGACAGAAGGGGTTTGACAGCCATCAGATAGGGTTGGTAGAGTTGTTAACAGGCCCTTATGATATGCAGATATTCACGATGAGGGCTTGAGAGAGTGTGGCTGTGAGGATGAAGGTTCAAGGTGAGAATAAAGGCGTCTCTGTGTAAGGGATAAAGATGTGCAAGAGTGGATTCTGGGGACCAAGCTCAGACCCTCTACACAAGCAGCATGCTCTCGTAACTGCTGAGCATCTCTCCAGCCCCTCTGTGATTCGTGAGATAGACTGAAAGTGAAGGCTTCTGAGACTCCCTGCGACTTCTGCCTAGTCTGTCCTCAAATACGTTATGTAGCTGAGAATTACATTGAACTTCTGGTCCTTCTGCCTCTGTGTCCTAAAGCAGCAATCTGTGAGCTGTGACCCCTTTGGGGGTTGAATGACACTTCCACAGGGGTCACCTAAGACCATCAAAAATATCAGATATTTACATTATGATTCATCACAGTAGCAAAATTACAGGTATGAAGTGGCAACAGAAATAATTTTATGGTTGGGGGTCACCATGACATGAGGAATTGTACTGAGGGTTGCAGCATTTAGAAGGTTGAGAACCACTGTCCTAAAGAGTGGGATCATAGGCATGAACCACCACACCTGGCTTATGTAGTTGTGGGGAGTGAATCCGGAGCTGTGTACATGCTAGGTAAGTACTCTGTCAACTGAGCTTTATCTCCAGGTACTTTTTGAAAGCCTATGAGACAATGGGTTTAATTATTGCCATTTTATATATACCTATCATTGTGCTTTGCTCATGTTCTTTCCCCTACCCATCTTCCACCCCCTGCCTCTAACTGCTTATCTCTTTCTGCCTCTAAATAGTCTTTTCTGCTTTCATGTCTCACATATCTATATACATATATAATTACTATGTTAAATGTATTTTATTTAAATATATATTATTTGTCCTTGTCTGGTTTATTTTGCTTAATATGATGCTTTCTAATTTTATTCATTTTCTTACAAATGATATAATTTCATTCTTTTTATGTCTGAATAAAAATCTATTGTATGTAGGTACATAGCACATTTTCTTCATCTATTGATGATATCTTGGCTGATTTCTTATCTTTGCTATTGTGAATAGTGCCTCAGAAACACAGATGTACAAGTTTATCCCTGTGATATGCCAATTCATCTTCTTTTTTTAAAAAAACATTTATTTATTATGTATGCACACACCTGAAGACAGCACCATATCTCATTATAGATGGATGTGAGCCACCATGTGGTTGCTGGGAATTGAACTCAGGTACCTCTGGAAGAGCAGCCAGTGCTCTTAACTTCTGAGCCATCTCTCCAGCCCCAATTCATCTTCTTTTAGGTATATACCCTGGAACTCACCTGCAGGCATAGCTAGATCATGGTCATTCTATTTTTGATTTTTTGTGTGTATTTTCTTTTCTTTTTTTTTTTTTTTTTTTTTGGTTTCTTTGTGTAGTCCTGGCTGTCCTGGAACTCACTCTGAGAACCAGACTGGCCTCAAATTCCGAGATCCACCTGCGTCTGCCTCTCAAGTGCTGGGATTAAAAGTGCACCACCATCGCCTGTCTAGAGTGTATTATTTTCAAAGATACTTAACCAGTTTATATTTCCATTAGCAGTCCACAAAGATTCCTCACCAGAATTTGTTGTCATTTGTTTTCTTTTCTTTTTTTTAAATATTTATTTATTATGTATATAGCGTTCTGCTTGCATGCCAGTAGAGAGCACCAGTTCTCATTATAAATGGCTGTGGACCATCATGTGGTTGCTGGGAATTGAACTCAGGACTTCTGGAAGAGGAATCAGTGCTCTTAACCTCTGAGCCATCTCTCCAGTCATTTGTTTTCTTAATGATGGACATTCTGACTGAGATGAGATAAACTTTCCTCCTTCTTATAATATAACCTAGTCTCAAGAGAGACTAGAACTATTGGTTGAAAGCGAGTCACAGATTCTGTTTGCTCTGGAGGGGAGAGGATAATACAAGCCTGTAACTTTAGAACACATCTTAAGGTATGTCTGCCACAACATGCTATATAGCTTATGTAGTTTTCATAAGCAGTTTTATTGACATAAAGTGTTTAGTTTTTGTTTTGTTCTTATTTGGTGATGGTAGACTTGAATTTTAAGCGACAGATGAAATGTAGGTAGTACGGGATGGCTTAGGTAGTAATGTCTTATTTGCCTTTTAGCCACATTTAAAAGCCACAGCGTCATGTTGCAGCTGACAGAGAGTCCAAGTTCTGTGTGGAGAAGTGAAGACAGCCGTTTCTTTTAGCCCTAGGTTTTCTCTTGGGAAGATAAAGGCCTTCTTTGGGTATCCTGCCCCCCTTCTTGGGATTGGGCACAATAACCTGAAAATTCACTAACATCTGATGTGATTAGTAAAGAAGAAAACACTGTATGATTAATCATGTCTCTACACAAATTACTTTCATTTTGTTCTTTTGATTGTGGTTTCCATCCTGAGGCTGGAATTATCTGGGAAAGATAGAGAGAAAAGGGAAAGAGAGAGCTCTTTCTTTGCATATGCCCTTGGCTGTAATATTCAGATCAGTAGTCAGGGGCAAGCCGCCAAATATGCTGTTACACATGAAAACATAAAACCCTCATCAATTTTCATGGATTTCTTCTCAGTGTAGCCCAGGGTTGGAGTTTATTTTTGTCATTTGTTTGATGGAGTGCTTGGTCAAATGTATGCAGGCTAAGTAGGAAGCAAAGAGATTAGTCTTCCTAGATGGTAAAAGAAAGAATGTAAGCAAACAGACATCTTAATGCATTGAAAATGAAAACCTAGAGGATCCTGGGTCCAGACTGCCACAAGAGGTAACAAGGTAGCAAATGACTGTTGTCCAGAAGGCAAGACCAAAGCAACTTTGGCTCAGATGGCCAAGAATCAGCAGAAAGCCCATTGGATGTTGGATGAATTATGGTTTCTGGCTCAGATTTACCATCTGGACCCATCCTAGAAGACTTGATGTGTTAACATTGTAAAAACTAGTAAGTGGCCTGTGGCCTGCTCCCCATCAGCCACCCTGTTCTGAACTGACAATCCAAGGACTAGTCATTTCTCCTTGTGAAATGTGGTGGCTTCTGACTTTAGAATTCCACCCTTGGTCTAAGACATCTCAGGTGCTGCACCCTTCCTGCAGACAGTGTACGCACAGGAAGAGATCCTGTCATGTGTGTGAGTGGTCTCTTGAATGGGTGTGCTCATCAGCGAACTCTCTGCAGCGTGCCAAGTTTCTCCTGCTTTGTCGCCCATAGTGTCGGGGCTTCTTCTTCTTTTCTTAAATGAGAGAGGAAAAACACTAGAAATCCAAAGATCTTGGGATAGCTGGCCGAGAAGGAGGCTTTTGAGAAGTCGAAGGCAATGTTCTCCTGTACAAAAGATGCTGAGATCAGTGCTCAGTCACCAGGTTCGGTTTTCCTCAGGTTGTAGGCCCTACCTGTAGTCCATTCATTTTCTGGCAGTAGTGAGACCGTGGTGTTGTTTTTGCCAATTCTTCTTCCTGTGTTTTTGTTGTTGGACATGTCTTTGTGAGAATTTCTATTGTTGTGAAGAGACACCATGACTGTGGCAATTCTTAGGAAGGAAAACATTTAACTAGGGTTGGCTTACAGGTTCAGAGGTTTAGTCCATTATTATCATCCAGGAAGCATGGTGGCCCACAGGCAGACATGGTGCTGGAGAAGGAGCTGAGTTGTACATCTGGATAGGCAGGCAGCAGGAACAGAGAGCTACTGGGCCTGGCTTGAGCATCTGAAACACCAAAGCCCATTCCCAGGGACACAATTCCTTCAACAAGGCCCACCTAATGTCTCTCTCCCTAAGCTTTCAAGCATATGAGCCTATGAGGGGTAATCTTATTCAAACCACTGTAGATGCTGACACTTGTTGGGAGTGCTGGGCAGAGGAGGTTTTTTTATGGCTTTTTGTTTTTGTCACCAGCCATGTGTCCCGAAAAGCTAAGGGAAAATACCCAGTTACTCCCTCTGAATGCTTGGATGATAGTAGAAGCCTAAGACATAGTCCCGAGTTGGGTTTTCTGGCAGTTGACCCTGTCAGCACACATGAGCAGTGTTGGTGGCAGGACAGAGCCTCAGGGAGTTGTGTCAGTGCGGGAAGCCTGGAAAGACCTTGGCAAGCCTGTATTAGGACAGATTGGAACGTCTGCCTGTTCAGAAGTGTGAGCCATACGGAGCACATCACACCTGTGCGACACAATCTGTACTAGCTGCCCACTGTTTCCAAAACAGTGATTTTTCTGGTTTAGGTTGAATTATGCTTTTTATATGCTGATGCCTGGCTATTGGTCAGAAAAATACAATAGTGAGCACGTGGTCCTGGGCTTAGCTGACCTCCTGGAGGTGAGCAGCAAGCTCGGCTGGTTTTGCTTTCCAGAGGGCCAAACATTAGGCATTTCCTCCAGCATTCTAAGCAACCTTTTATGGCTTCGGTTTTTCCTAATTTCCCAGTGTGCATCGGCTTCTGCTTAGTTGCCTCTGGCTAGAGAGAATCTGGGACAGTGACCAGCATGGAGTAGGCATTTGGGTGGTATTTATGTAATTATTTCCTCTCATAGACTAGGGGAATAACTTTACAATGCTCTGATGCCAGATCTCTCCTTTCTTTCCCTTTGAATTTAGATTCACCTGATGGCAACTGATAAGCCAGTTTACGTTTGACATTTGCATGTTACAATGTTGCTTTCTCTGCCTTTTCTACGTTTGGATTTCCCCGTTCTGCATTTTCCATGTTTGCTGGTTCTTCCTTTTTCTCCTTTTGCATACTTTTACCGTTTGGAAGACATTTCCCTTAAATCTCTGAGTATGACGCTGACAGCAGCGATCCAATGGCTGAGAAGAAGGGTGTGGAAGGTGTGGTTTCCAGGGAGCAAGTTACGGATTTCTAAAATAGGGTGTTTCATAGCTTCTCCTCAAGTCTCGTATGTCATTCTGAAATACTCAACTGGGCAGGTTAACTCATCACAGAGATGAGTTTATATGCTCCCCACTACTTGTTGATGGTCGGTTTCTCCATACACCTGCTTGTTAATGGGAGGAGCCCGGTGCCACTGGCAGGGTTAATACTTGTTAGCAGTGTGAGAGGAGGTAGTGGTGGATGACAAGGATGAGCCTGCTTAGTAAAGGGAAGTGGTTCTTAGCCTCTGCTCACATTTGGTTGGATAATTGCAAGTTAGTGCAGGGTGCCATGTAAATCAGAAAGATTAGATTATGGTAATATTGACAGTTGGGTAGTGTAATGAGAATTTCTATTTTATGGTTTTTAAAAAAATTTTAACTAACGGTCCTTGAATTTTAATCTATGTGTATTTTTGTCTCTCCTAATTTAGGATTATAACTGGGTAACTAGTCTTTCTTGTAAACGCCTTAGATAAAAATTAGCAAGGATTGGTACAGATTAAGTATAAGAGGGCTGCTGTTCTCGACAGCTCCATCCCCCTGGCCTGGAATTTGGCCAATCTCTATAGCTTTGAGTACAGTTTGTCACAGAGCCTGGGAATAGCCACAGATGGAGTGTGTTCGGGGTTTAGCTTCATTTTAGGTGATTGGATGTCTAATTCCTTGGAGTCTGTTGTTTCAGCCCCCTCCAACACCTGGATGGTGGTACTGGATCCTATGAAGCCCGGGGGACCCTTCGAAGTGATGGCACAACAGACTTTGGGGGCTATGAATCTCACCCTAAAGGTTCACGATGTCTTATTTGGAGATGTCTGGCTGTGCAGTGGGCAGAGTAACATGCAGATGACTGTGTTACAGGTAATTTGGAGACAGTAAATGTCGACGATAATGGAGAGGAGGGGAAAGAAGGAAAAATAGTGACAAGGAAAAGGAAGGCTGTTTCTGTCTACTAATTCTTATCATGTGTAAGATCTAATCTGAGTGCTTTCATATTAAAGAATTTCATTTAGAAACCTGAAGAAGTAAGCTGTGGATTAAATTGGTAGTTATTGGTTGGCACTAATTGTGCTTATATACTCAGTTTTCTCTTTGAAGAGATTGAAGGTCACTGCTATCCCTAGGTCTGCCCTCCAAACTAATTGCCTGTTCTAGTTGATTTATCTCTTCTTGCCTTTCTCGACTATCTTTGTTTTTGAGAAATATTTAAGTTTGAGGTGTAGGAATCTGTACAGCCAAGCTATGTTTTCCTTTCAGTTCTCTCTTTGATAAAAGTATAAACTAGATGGAGAGATGATTTAGTGGTTAAGAGCACTGACTGTTCTTCAAGAAGACCTTGCTTCAGTTCCCCTCCAGCACCTACATGCCAGCTCACAACTGTCTGTAACTCCTGTTTCAGCAAATCCAACAGATACACATGCAGGCAAAACACCAATGCACATAAAATAAAACAAATCATTAAAAAATATAAGCTTGAGTACTTTTATATACTTTAAAACTTTTATGTATGTATTTATTTATTTTTGAGGCAGGGTTTCTTTGTGTAGCCCTGGCTGTCCTGGAACTAGCTCTGTAGACCAGCCCGGCCTCGAACTCACAGAGATCCACCTGCCTTTGCCTCCCAAGTGCTGGGATTAAAGGCGTGCGCCACCACCGCCCAGCCAGTGTTTATTCTTTATAGTTTCATTGTTCCTTTTTAAAGAAAACGTATTGCTAAACAACGCTATTCAAAAGACTGACATACCTACTCCATTTTACCCATGATTACTAAATCAAAAATCTAACTTCTTGTATATAAATTTTTCTAATCAGTATTTTGTGAACTCTTACGTCCTGCCTTAATTAAATGTATGAAAGTATTTTGAATGGAAATACCTATTAAGCTGAACTTGGCCTGGACCTTGTTGGCATGTTTGAATGGACACAGAGGTGAGGTTTTATCCTAATAGAAGGCATGGTTTTGTGCAGAAGTGGAATTGCTGTTAAGTCATTAGGGAAGGCAGTGCTTTCCATCATGCTTTAATTGTACTTCTGTGTTTTCACAGAAAGGCATGGACCAGATCTGTTTGTATCTATATAGTAACTTTCTCAATAGCAGACTATGCCAAGGGATCCCATCCCATTTTCTGTCAAGCTAAATCAGATCTTGATTGCTAAGTGTAAACACATTTTTTTTTTCTGCCTGGAATTTTCTCTTGAGCATCTTCTGAATTAACTCAGGGCTGAGAGCTCTGAGGCAGAGGGGGGCAGAGATGAGGATTCTATCTGAAACATATATGTGTTAATTCTCTCTCTCCCTCTCCCTCTCTCTCTCTCTCTCTCTCTCTCTCTCTCTCTCTCTCTCTCTCTCTCTCTCTCTCCTCTCTCTTCCCCTCTCTCTCCCCCCCCTCTTTCTCTCTTTCAATGGTGCACTTAATTTGCAAGGCAGCATTTTAGGTGCGATAATACCAAAAGCCACATCTTCCAGTCTCTTAACAGTTTGCAGAAGCTTGTTTTTGATAGGAAGGGTGCATTACATGGCTCCCCTGTATGCTTTTGCTCCTTTCTCTGTACAGATTCCCAGTGCACACAAGCACAGGGTCTGCCTCTCTTCCCTCCATGTGCCTTTTTGAGGAGGTAAGATTCTCACTATAACCTACCCCTCTTCACATTCAAAGAAGGAAATGGCAGATTGTATGCCCATCTTGTTAGGGTAAAAAGGAATTTTAAAGCTGAATGTTATTTATAACACCGAGTGAGATGTTTATAAATGGAGAAAAGTCTAAATGTTCATCTGTCACCTCAGGGTAGGTCTTAAGACTCAGATATTTCTAGTGAGGCTCAGGAAAAGATGGCCAGTATCAGACAAGAAGCCCAAATTTTCAATCACTTGGCACGCCCCTCTTTCTTATTTACATATAGAGAAATTAAATATACAGAAGAGAGGGATGGGACCACATTCCAATAGGAGACTCTTAGCAGTCTGGTGGATGGCTTATATACAGTCATTACCTCAACCTTGGGAATGATACTGTAGAAGTGAAAACAAGGTTCTAAATCTCCAAATTCTTCTATGTCAGTTACTAGATGTCTGTCTGCCACATGTGTGAGTGTGGGCATGTACACATGTCTACATTTGCACACGGTCACATACACACTCACACACATGTCTTGTTCCCCCTCTCAGACCCCATGCTTAGAGCCTCGGAGGGAAATAGATTCTTGACGTATCTTCATTAATTCAAGAATGTGGTATAAAGGTTACAAAATGAACACTGGTGAGCAGCTGCTTTGATGGGGACTGGTCTGGTCCCTGGAGAGACAGCGGTGCTCTCCCTCAGCCCAGGCAGCGGTAATGACTTCAAATACCTTGGTATTCATTTACATCCTCATTTAAATACTTGGTAGGGAAATAATTACACAGAGATGTTTGATGAGATGAAGTCTCATCTCAGCAGATGGAGTAAAGCTTCCCTTTCATCAGCGGGGAAACCGAGTGTCATTTAAATGAAAATCTTCCTGAAATCTCTTTATTCCTAAATTTGCTGCCAATATCCCAGAGGAAATGCTTCCATCAAAAAGGCAGTGGGATTGAGAAAGGGGGCCAATTTCAGACGTAATTGTCACCAGGTATAGCAGGAATTTTCCCCATCCCCATTTATGTCAACACCCGGCTTTCCAGTTCTGGCAAATGCGAGAAAAGATGGAAGCCTTCCAGCTAATGTTTTGGATCGAGTTCCACGGTCTGGTAACAATACAGGAGGATGCCAGGCCCCTGACTCCACTGCCCTGGCACTACTCAGGCAGACTCAGCAATGGGGCTGAGAGACAAGTAGCATGTTCTCCCACCCTGCTTCCCCAAGCTGGCGTCCCATTGCTGTGAGCTGCTTGCGTTCCCAGGCAGTGCGGAAGCTAGTGTGGGTGGAGAGAATGAAAGCAGCTTCATCCACTGTTTCCATGGAAGCAACATACGATGCTTCGTGCTCAGTGCAGAACTGAATTTCAAAGGAGGTGACTTTTTACAGGTACTTACTGCTGAAAAATAATTTCCTTGCCAAAGTACACTGTGAGCGCATCAACTTGTTTCTCTTTGCCAACTATTTTCCATTAATCCTGCTAGCTAAGATCTTGAAGACAGATCAGGACTTCCATGGCATTTTCCTGAGACCCTGTGTAATGTCTGCCCTGAGTATAGAGACCCCGACAGGCTGGAGTTGCTGCCACCCAGGAGGCACATCAGGCTGTGGCTCCCACAGTGACCCAAGAGCGATTTCCTTTGCATCTACTTATGCTGTTGGCCGCAGCCAGCACAGTGGTCAACCCAGAGGTTCTTCTAGGGGCAGCACTTTTCAGTGAGATGCCGTGGGGGCGCCCCGGCGGCGGCGTTAGCCTTTCGCTTCTCCTGGACCGTGGGCTGCAAGGCCAGCTGTGTTCTCTGCGGTGGGTGGGAGGGAAAGCGAAGCAGCTGCTGTATCTGTGGCTGTGGCTGTGGGCCAATGCAAAGTACCCTGGCCTCTGTGCCTTGCTGTGGCAGCCGGACTCAGCTGGGGAGCCTGTTCCCTGAGGCGAGTGGTTACTGGCCTTCCTGATGATCCTGTTGGTCCTTTGTTTTGGGAGAAGCTGGACTGCTCTGGGGGATGGAGAGAACTCAAGAGCAGACACGTACACAAGTACAAAAGCAAACCAAGATACTGCCCATCCTTTCTTTCTAACATAGAGGAAACAACAGCAAAACCTGTAATGGCTGGTTTTGTGTGTCAACTTGACATAAGCTGGAGTCTTCAGAGGAAGGAGCCGCAGCTGAGGAAATGTCTCCTTGAGATGCAGCTGTAAGGCATTTCTCATTTTGTGATCAGTGGGGGAGGACCCAGCCCACGGTGGGTGGTGCCATCCCTGGGCTGCTGGTCCTGGGTTCTATAAGAACTTGCTTTTTGGCCATTGTGTTTCATCACAGCAATAGAAACCCTAAGGCAAAACCCAAAACAATAACCCAACAACAGTGCAAGAGACCAAGGTGGAAGGAAATAGGGTGCTCCTAAGATGTAGAGGAATGAGGCTTAACAGGCCTAACGAGTAAACCACTCAACATGGTACGGACAGCTTGCCCAGAATAACACCAGATCACTGTGCCATGAGGGTTTGCGAAGTGGTTTGGGGAAATGCGGTATCTTTGGGTAGACACATTGCTTTTTTTAAGTTCCTTGGGACTCTCCTGAACCTTCCCCTGGGCAGCGCTTTTCAGATTCCCTCTCTTGCCAGCCTTTTCCTTGGTGACTACTCCCCAGGACCAAGATGAGAATAGCCTAGTTTCCACAGTCATTTCTCACGTGTGTTTCTCGGTAATCTGGTTTTTTTTATATATGGTATATAGATTACATAAGTCATGGTCTCTGTTGTCTCCACAGGCACTCCCTAAACACCATTGTTAAAAGAAATTAATTCAGATGCTTTGTGTTGTCAGATGCCAGTTACCAGAGGGAACAAGCGTTTAGTTTCAAATTAGAGTAATCTACGGGATGGGAGGTGTAGATTGGTGATAGGTTTAGCTGGCTTGCACTAGGCTCTAGGTCCAGCCCCCAGAACCATGGGTGGAAAACATAATGATATAATCTGTAGTGTTCTTTAGCCTCATCCCTACACAGCTCTTCTTGTCCAGTGTAGACTTACTGTGGAGGATTTCAGGTTTCATTGATAGTGAACTGTCTCCTGAAACATGAATCATCATGGTCTCTGTTGGTCAGAATGGATGCGGTGTTTTTGGTCCAGCCCATCAGTGATTTGGTTATTTATCTAGTCTCAGTATATCCAAGTGTCAGGAGGAGCTCAGAGGACTGGAAGAAGTGTTTACTGAGAAGCTGCAAGCCAGTTTGCCATCTGCCAGGTTAACTGACTCTCTGATCTTTCTAGGTCTTCAACGCCTCGAAGGAGTTCTCTGATGCTGCTGCCTACCAGTCTGTGCGCATCTTCTCTGTCTCCCTCGTCCAGGCAGAGGAGGAGCTGGAGGACCTTGATAATGTTGACCTGTCATGGTCCAAGCCCACTGCAGGTATGTGAGTGCTTCAACCTGCACATCTCTAGGGAATGGGTTAGTGGCTTAAGCAGAACCCCCAGTTTGGTTCTGCCTGTTGTTACAGAACTAGCCTTTTATTTCTACTGGGATTCCATCCCATTCCTGGTGATCATGGTTTCATGTTTCTTCTCAAGTATCTGCCCTGAGTCTTCCCTGGTGTTCAGGAAAGGGTATCTTTTACTTTAGGACAGTACTGATGCTGTTCAACATGAGGCGGGTCAGCGTCTTCCTCCGTCATGGTAACTCTCCCTATCCCCCACCGCATGCCTGTGTCTGGGGACAGCTTACCTTTCAGAGTGACTGGGTCTGCTCCAGCCAGCTTCCTCCAGAGCCTTCTTTCATCAGGTTTTATCCTGCCCCTTCTCTCCATTCAACACAGAGTCCTTATTTCATACCTCTGTCTCCTCGGCCACAAGCTCTGCACTAGTCCAAGGACACAGAGTATAACAGACAGGGTTTAGCCTTGTTCTTTATTCTCACAAAATAAAACAAAGCCAAAGGCAACCAGCATCCTTCTCATGAAGCTGCATCACTTTCTGTTGCTTTATACTTTCTATAGTGTCTTTTGTTTTCATTCTTTTCACTGCCTTGACATGTTTCACTCTTGTTTTGTTTTGTTTTTTTCGAGACAGGGTTTCTCTGTGGAGCCCTGGCTATCCTTGAACTCCCTTTGTAGACAAGCCTGGCCTCGAACTCCAAGATTCCCTTACCTGCCTCTGCCTCCCGAGTGCTGGGACTAAAGGTGTGGGCCACCATTGCCCAGCAACACTGCTCATTCTTTAGTCCTCCCATTTGGTTCTTCTACCTCAACAATTTGTTCACCTCAAGGTTACTTCTCTCATTATGAACTCAGTGACCTCTGCAACACTGGGCACTGTTGCCCCCTGAGCTTAGCTTCTGCATGTTCCTAACCTGTGTGGTAATTCTTCTTTCTAACACCCCCTCCCCATTCACTGCTTCTTTAATCCTTTCTTTCAAATGTGGTCTCCGTGTTCTTTCTAGGCCCTTTCTCTCTTACTGTGTATATGCGTTATCTCAGAGACATTATCTGTTCCTTCCTTTTCAGGTATTAGTATATTCACCAAACCCCTGAGTGCCCGCTATATGCTAGGCACTGTTTTAAGTGCTTTGGGTATTATCGGTGAATGGCACAGGTAAAAACACCTGACCTCATGTGCCTGTAGTCTACTGTGAAAAATTACAGGCATCCAGTAATTAGTAAATTACATACTATCTGGTGCTTAGGGGCTGTGGAGATGACTCAGTGGGTAAGAGAGCTTCTTTATATGCCTGACAACCTGAGTTTGATCCCTTAGGACCCAACATGGTGGAAGGGTGTAACTGGCCCTGTCCCCGCCACCCCCCACACCTCCAGTTAATAAACAATTGTTATAAAAATGCTAAGTGTGGGGTGCTATCTATTCTCACAGTATTGGGATTCTGTTGTTGAGAGAATTTTAGAACTGAGTGGATTCCTGTGATGTTTGGATGAATCCTTTGCTCAAAGGGCTCTTGGTATATGTTATCCAAAGCCCAGGTTTGGATGGTATATGATACCTCAGATCTCAAGACAGAAGAGATTCGGATATCATGGGTCACGTATGATGGGGGAGACAAAATAAACGAATCAACTCTACCAGAAAAGGGAGCAGACAAGGAAGTGGGGTTGGAATGTAGTAGTGTTTGCAATCAGAAACTGAGCTAAGTGGCATCTCCGTAGCAACCTGAAGGAGACAATGCAGCCCTCAGGGGTGGGTGAGAAGGGAAGGGTGGGCCAGGTCTCTCTTAGATTTACAATTTCTCCCTTTTTCTCTTCCCACATCCCTCTGACTGCATTGCAGAAAATTTGATCTGATTTGGGAGAGAGAGAGGGAGGGAGGGAGGGAGGGAGGGAGGGAGGGAGGGAGGGAGGGAGGGAGGGAGGGAGGGAGGGAGGGAGAGAATGAGAATAGGTTTGGCATGGGCTTTTGAAACCTCAAAGTCCACTCCTTGGAACTCACAGAGATCCACCTGCCTCTGCCTCCTGAGTGCTGGGATTAAAGGTGTGTGCCACCACTGCCCAGCCAAGGCTACATCTCCTAATCTTTGTCAAACAGTTCAGCTAACTGATGACTAAAAATTCAGATAGACACTCCTGTGGGGGCCAATGTCATTTAGACCACTATAGAGGGAAACACAGAGAATTATTGCAGGAAGTGACTTGGCGGGGTTGCACAGAGAGGGGAGGAAGTCGGTCCAAACCAGGCTTTAAAAAATATACTTCATTTTATGCTCATTGGTGTTTTGCCTGCATGTATGTCTGTGTGAGGGTGTCAGAAGTCCTGGAACTTGAGTTACAGACAGGAGTGAGCAACCATGTGGGCTCTGGGAATTGAACCTGGGTCCTCTAGAAGATCAGCTAGTGCTCTTAACTGCTGAGCCACCTCTGCAGCCCCTAAACCAGGCTTTTAAAAAATGAACTTATTACGAACTCATTTGATATTTTTTCTTTGTTGTTAACTCTGCCTAAGACTTCTTTGTACCTCTTACCACACTGCATTTTGTCATTTTATTTAGCTAATCACTCGACACATTCAGTAAGCTTTAGAGATTAGGAGATGTTCTTTGCAGCTCTTTCATTGCTGCTGTGTCTCAACTGTTGGGTAGCTCCTGGCACATAGTAGGTACTCGATCAATTCTAACTCATCTGAAATTGATTTGATTTTCTGCTTTTGCACCATCGGTTGTTGGGTTTGAGTCCTTTACAGCACTGAACCAGCGCCTCATCTATGGTAGCTTTTCCTAAGTACTGATTGAATCAATCCTGCTGCTGTGTGTGTTTTGGACGCCCCCCCCCCATCAGCTTCCTCTACTATGGAGCTCACATATCCCAGCTTCTGTTGGCTACTGCGCAGTAGGAACAGAAAAACCAGATTTGACTGGTGGCAGAGCAAAGCTGGTAATGGCTTCTGTGCCTCCTTTTTCTGCTGGGTTTCTCGGCACTTATGTGGCAATATCTTGGGATTGGTCATAAAAATCACCCAGAAAAAAAAATACAGCTCATCTCTTCCCTACTGGCTGCCTGCTTTACATGAATGGCTGGACAAGAGGAACGGCAGGCAAGGGCTGGAAAAGGGACCTGATGGGTTTTTGGACCACTTACCTTCTGAGGAAGAGGAATATTCCTGGATTCCAAGGTGCCTGAGAGTCTAGGGTACCTCGAAACTCTGATTGCATAAATGTAACACAGTTGTTTCCTTTGCCTTCATGGCAGCCTGAGAGCTCTGTTTCCTTGTTGTGGGAAAAGACATTTTGAGCAATTGAAAAAACCAAAGAAACTGAAGTGCAATCAAGAGAAACAAACTGTGGTTGTTACTGTAGGTCTGCCCCCCTACCCCCTTCGCCATGGTTCATCCTTGACTGAATGCTGTCTCTGCCCCACATCTTACCCTGCTTCTGAAAGTCTAAGAAAGGAGCCCGGGGCTGGCTCATGGCCACTGCTCTCACCTTGACTGATCTAACAGCTCCAGCTTGTATTCCTTTGCTTTTCTCATGCCTTTCCCTGTAACTCTTTCTCTGCACAGGAAACTTGGGCCATGGAAATTTCACGTACATGTCAGCAGTATGCTGGCTCTTTGGCCGTTACCTGTATGATACTCTGCAGTATCCCATTGGGCTGGTCTCCTCCAGTTGGGGTGGGACACCCATTGAAGTCTGGTCATCTAGAAGGACACTGAAAGCCTGTGGAGTCCCTAATACAAGGGACGAGAGAGTTCTTCAGCCCGAGATAAAGCCCGTGAGGAATGAGTGTAAGAGTGAGGGGTCCTTGTGTCCTTTGGGGAGGTAAGTGTACACTGAATGTCCACATTTGTCCTGAGTGTGTAGAGTTTATCCATGCACAGGCCACATGCTGTTGCCGTGAGCACTGTAGCCATCTGGGTACATGTCAAGAGGGGATTCTGAGCATTTAACCCAGTAACGACACTGGCTCAGTCCTTGCTGACAGCTTAAATAGGGAGGGTACTGTACACGCACTAGTTCATCTAGTTCTTGAAAGTGCCTCCCAAATGTCTATACCGCTGATGTTCCACGGTTAAAGACGTGGGGTCCCACAGAGGATCAATAACTAGCTCGTGGATAGGGCTAATAAGTAGGCTAATCTGGCCCCAGTGCCTGGGCGCCTCCTGACCACGGTGCTCTCATGCTCAAGAGTAAACAGCCAGACAGGAGAGAATGTCTAAATATGTACTTAAAAATATTGTAGTATGCAGAGTATGAAAGCTTGCTTGGGAAAAGTTGGGTGGGAAGAATATTGGGGGAGAGAAAGAATGAGTTAGTTAAAAACAAAACACAGCACAACCGAAACTGTATGCAAGTGGAGATCAATGGTTTGCACCCCACTTTTGTGGGCACTGTCTCATTCTGTCTAGGAAGGGAAGGGGGGGTGTTGGGGAGGAGGAGAGCTTTCTCTTAGTACAGTTTGGATATTTGGATATAGGCTTGCCTGGGTGTAAGTGGGGTGGAGACATTAAGTGTGGACAGAAAGAATGGCCTTTAGTAGAGTAGGAGGGAGAGTCTTATCTACTCGGGTTTAAAAAAGCCAGGTCCTTCAGATCTCTGAGGAGCGGGAGTGAAAACGCAAACGGTGTGGAAAAATGGGCATTCTCAAATAGAGCGACTGCAAAGTCAAATGCACAGAGAAATTTGGGACCATATCCAAAGTTTAAAAATTATATTCTTTTTGACTCAGTAATGCCATTGCAGGGAGTTTGTCTTGTAAAAAAGAATTAAGCATGTACACATTGGTTTAGCTATATGGAAGATAATCATGGCATTGCTCACAAAAGGGAGACACTTAAGCTAGTCTAAGCATCTGTCTCCTGAGTAGCAGTTAGCTGAATTTATTGCCTGTCAATCACCCCTCCCTCTCACCTCAATGGCTCTATCTGGAAACTGGCACGGCTCACTGTGGACTCACACAAAACTGACTCAGAAGAGCCTGGAGGTAAAATTCCAAGATGGTTCCCATATTTTCAAGTGACATGCAATGGACTGGATTCCTCTGTGCTGTTTTCACCTGAGAGTTGTCCAAGTGAACGTGGGTAGGCTGACTGTCTTGTGATCTGGTGGCCTTGGTCATCTTTCTGATTTCAGGTTTGTTCCACTGCCTTCTGTGACTAGACCTGTAACACACTCTGTCCTCTGGAATGCCATGATCCATCCACTGTGCAACATGACTTTGAAAGGGGTGGTATGGTACCAGGGTGAGCTTGCCTTTCTCCATGTGCCAATTAGCTTTTGCAGGGTAACAAAGTGCCCCAAGAAGTTAATGGCTTCAAAGCCCAGTGACTTTATGCTTTTATTTAGCTCTCTCTTCTCTGGGTTAGCAGAGTGGTTCTCCTGTCTGTGATGCTTCAGCTAGTTTTGTCTGGGGTCTCTTATTTGTCCTTGCCTACCTGCTAAGTTATCTGGTGGCCAGAGGACCTAGGCTGGCCTGTCTGTCATAACCATTGACTGGGGACTGTATGCTGGGCCTTGAGATTCTCAGGTGACCTGTCCTTCAGCAGGCTGGCTCACACTTATATTTCATTTCCATTATGGTCCCAGAGTCCCAGGAACATAGAGAGAGCCACGCCCAAAGCTGAGGCTCTTTTGAAGTTTCTGCTTGCATCTTGCTTGCTGATACCTCTGGCAAAGCAAGTGACGATACCAGTCTTGAGAGTTCCAAGGCCACTACCTCAGGGCATGGAGGTAGGGAGGAGAAGAATGTAGGGCATTTAAAAAATCTACACCAAATTTTGGTGACTTTTTTTTTTTAGGGGAGAACAATGCGAATTATAACAGGGACCTGTACTCATGCATGTTCCCTGCACTCATTGATGACTGGCGCCAGACCTTCCATTATGGCTCCCAGGGGCAGACAGAGCGTTTCTTCCCGTTTGGGTTTGTGCAGGTATGTGTTCAGAGGAAGTCCGTTCATGAACATGTGTGCAGTGTGTGGAAGGTGTGTGCTATGCAGATCTCTGTCCAGGAATTGGCATCCCCACTTTTGTTTTCACAGTGTGTGCTAACTCCAAGCTGTATATAGCCCTTAATTCATGTGAATTTACTAGATGATTAACATTTAAAGATGTCAATAAACAACTAGTATTTCTTATTATAAAAGCATTCCAGTTTTACTGGAGAAACTTTAAAAGAAGAAACAAGCACCCAAACAAAAACCAAACAAAAAAATCCCAACTACCACCACCATAAAGCTAAAATGATTGAGACGTCAAGAAAAAAAAGCATACTTCTGTTTTTGTATAGTTTTTGATTCTCTTCATAGAATATTATAAGCATTTTCATGCCAATAGGCAATATTCTTCAACATAACTTGGCATGATTACAGGCTATTCTGAAATATGGATACTTTGGAAGATATTTAAACGAGTTCTCAATGGGCAGGTACTGAGTGGTTTCTCTTATTTTGCTTTTACAAACTGTGTTATTTTCCTGAAAGCAGATTTCTTGTAGCTTAATTACTACCCTAGGATAAATTCCCAGAAATGAAACAGCTGGGTCAAAAGATATGCCCCCAAAGACTTTGTCCACATTCCCATTTCTTGTTAAAATTATGACTTTGTGTAAATGTGTACCTTTAGCAACTATGTGTGAGAGTGTGGACTGTCCCATGCTGCGTGTTTCCTCTCCTGGTAAGGCTGACTCTGCTGCCTCACTAGGCCTCCTTACAAACTGATCAATCAACCAACCATGCTCACTTCCCCGTCTTCCTGATTTGCTGTTATCCTGTAGACATTTAGAATTTACCATAGTCTCTGACTTCCAAGCATCACACACACTCCTCGTTTGAAATAATTTTTCTTTTTTACATGTTCCTAGTTGGTTCTCAGCCTGGATTTTAGGAAACTATTTGTGACTATTTAGAGTCTGGGCTAGATGCCCTTTTCCTAGATAATGCATTTCTACTAAGAAATCGCTTACACTCTTGTTTTTTTTTACATGTGGTTGTATGGATGGCTATGTTTTTGGGGTCAGTTTTGTGTTTCTAGTATGTAGTTGATTGACACTCTTTAAATAATGGCTTACAACACAAAATGAAAACATTGTCACGAGAAGAAGCCACGTTTTCTGTTAGAGGAAGCTAGTCAGAAATACTCTGCCTTCACCCTTAGATAAAAGGAATAAACATGTGGGTCAAGTTGATCAAAAGTGTGTTCTCAACCTATCTAAATGCCTAGACTTTTTAGCGGAGTGGTAGTTCTGGCTTTTATGAACTAGGAAATCACACGATTAAGTTCTCTGAAAAGAAGGTCCAGTCATCAGTGGAATGGCCGCTGTCTCGGTTCAGATGTCACCCTGTGAACCATAGATACTTTCTTCTCACTGCCCTTCCGTCTCTGGTGCCTTGTCTTCTTTTGCCATACCTTCCTTGAGAAGACGTTTGTCTCTGTGTGTTTGTGTTGTGGTGTGTGTTTCTGTGTATTCCACACTGTGCATACAGAAGTCAGAGGACAAGTGACAGTCCTCACTTTGTACTCTAAGACAGGGTCCTGATGCCTATACACCAGGTGAGTGGGTCTGCAAGCTTCTGGGGGCTTTATTGTCTCTGCTTCCTCTCTTGTTGTGGAAATGCTGGAGTTACAGATGTTTGCTGCTGAGCCTGACTTTCTGCGGGCTATGCAGGTTCTGTGGATCTGAAGACTTTACCCCCACAGCCGCTTCCCCAGCCCCCAAACACTGTTTTTGAGAAAAGGTTTTTATTAACTTCCTTTCACCTAACATGGCTTACTGATTGTTTTCTTTTTTATGTTCGTACCCGGTTCTGTATTACTATTTCTCTCTCAGCCTGTGAACTTGGTTGTTCGAAGGTGACTCTAATTCAAATGAAAATACGCACGGGGCATTCATAAACGTGGCATCTGATCTTTTCTCTCAGATTTTAGTTTATAGAAGTCCCTTGCCCCTTAGCCTTAACTTTATCACCAGCAAAAACATGCCATTACTTGTAATATCATCACATGTATTTAGATAAGTATGTGAATTCAAAGGGAAACAGTAAACGTGACACCCCAACATAGTGCTTTAGCGCCTGGGTCTAGAGTTAGACGCCTCGGATTCCAACTCTGCCATGACACTCCTTGAGATGTTGAACAGTTTGTCAGACATCTGTTTTTTTAAGTAGTGCATAACTTGGTCTGTATGAAAACATGCTGGATGTTAGCATTTATTATTTTTGTGCTAAGTCAGGACATCTGAAAGGGTAGCTGTCTTGTTAGGAAAGATGAAGTAACCCAATGGTGAGCACAGTCACAGATCCAGGCCTGGAGCCCTGTGGAGGAGACCAGAGCTGGTGGGGGACTCGAGTTACTGGAAGAGAGGAGGCTGGAAGCATGAGAGAAAGATCTGGAGACTGGGCCTCCAAGGGGGACCTTGGAGGAACAGATTGTAAACTTCCCTGTTACTTGGAACATCTTCCGAATGTGACCAGTTTTGTGGGTTTTTTGTTTGGCAGTTCTATGTCCTCATTAGCCTCTGTATTTGTAAGAAGCACCACGGGAGACTGAACCACGCTTCACTGGGCTTCAGACTGGGAAAAACACAAGCATTTCATTTGGGTGTGGAGTATGATGGTGCCCCCACGTGGCCAGTGTGCAGTAGTGCCGTCTGTGAAACCAGACGATTGGAATTCCCAGCTGACTGCCATTTTGAAGAAAGAAAGGCCTTTGCCTGGGGGGGCTGATTGTAGCAGGTCTGTCTGCCTGTTGAGCTTTAAGGCTGTTTCCAGTGGCTTTGTTATTTTGTTTCCATTATGACACTGGCTGGTGAATGTGGTTCCATTTGCAATCTTTGCATTGAATGAAATTGGAGGATTCATTAGGCTCTGTGTGTGTGTGTGTGAGTGTGTGTGTGTACAGGTGCATGTGCATATACATGCATGTGGTCTCTCTCTCTCCCTCTCTCTCTCTCTCTGTCTCTCTTTCATCACTCAAGAAGTAGAAAACATCCTCAAGAGTTTCATCCCGACTTGTGTATAGGGATGATGTCAGTTTTTTTTCTTTCATTCTGGGCAGTGTGGTGAGTGAGACTGGGTGGGACAGTTTGTCTAGAATGGAGCTTCTCTGGTGGGGTCAGGCATTTTGAAATAGAGTCAGACAACAATTTGGATGCTGGCCAACCTGTGGCCTGACTTATTGTTAGATCATGATTAGAGAGAGAGAGAGAGAGAGAGAGAGAGAGAGAGAGAGACAGAGACAGAGACAGAGACAGAGACAGAGACAGAGAGAGACAGACAGAGAGAGAGAGACAGAGGAGGCTGATGACTTTCATTGGCAGGAACTAGGGTTGAGAATGAGATGCTGTCTAAATCATCAGAAAATACCAGAAAACTCAGAAAGAAAAAAATCAGCAGGAACATGTGTGTCACAGTGATACTAAGGCATCTTCTTTCTTTTTATGTGATCTTTTGTTACTATATAGTAGCTATATGTAGTGACAGGTTTCATTAGGACATTTTTCTTCACACACATAAGCAATTTGACTATACTTACCCCATTGCTCTCTCTTATTCCTCTCTCCATCTCCTGTTAATCTTCCTCCTCTTTCCAGGTTGCTCCTCTTCTACTTTCGTGTGTGCGCACCCGTGCGTACGTGTGTGTGTGTGTGTGTGTCCGCCCTAGTGTAGGATCACGGGTGAAGGTTGTTTACAGGAGCATGGACACCTTACCAGTAGCTACACCACTGGAGGAAATGTCTCTCCCTCTCTCATCAACCTTTGGCTGCATACAAATCCTCAGGGAGGGTTGGGGGTGGGGGCTCTACATGCCCCTCCCCTTTTCATGACCGAGTGTTGACAAGCCCAGTCTTGTATAGATCTTGTGCAGGTAATCACAGCTGTTGTGAGTTTGAGTGTGCTAACCATGCTATATCTAGAAGTTAGTGGTTCACACCTCTGAAGGTGTACCCTTCCTTGGACTCTTACATTATTTCCTCCCTTTCTTCCTCGAAGCACCCTGGACTTTTGAGGGATTGGTGTAAGCATCGAGTTTATGGTTAGGCACTCAGCAATCGTTGGCACTCAGTACCTCGGCTAGGTAAAGTGTCTCCCGGGCGCCCCTGTGCTTCGCAGCGATGGAGCATATCAACTTCCAGCATGAAGCAGTTAGTCCATTTGCTGCTCACTGTATGGGGTCTAGAGCACTTCTTGATTACCCCAACTGCTCCTTCACTAGCCAGAGACGCTCCATGGACTTACTGTCTCCCATCAAAAGCCTTCCTTCTTGTTTCCATGTTGACTCTTCCTCTTTAGGATATTCTCAGTATATCAGACAGGGTTCCTGTGTGCCTCTCCTCGCCCCCTCCCCCATTGACTTGCAGCTAATGCCAAGAAGGTCATGTATGCTCTGCTCCCATCACCCCTGGCCTCACTTCCTAATGCTCTCTGCCTGTTCCATACAGGCTGGGTCACTTTTTTCCTTAAGTATACTAAGGCATACTTTGACTTTAATTCCTGACACTTTCTTTTTCTCCTGCCTGGGAAGTATTTTCTCTACTCTATTTTCTCTTGCTGCATAATACTATATTTAGCAGCTTAAAGCCATCCAACATATATTTATTTATTATCTCCCAGTTCCCGTGTAGAGTGAGCCTGGCACAGTTGGCTTAGGAGGACCCTGGTGCCAGGCAGAGCTGGAGTCTCCTCTGAGACTTGGGGTTCTCATCTAAGCTCCTGTGATCATTGGCAAAATGAATTCCCTTGAAGCTTCTCTGGGACTTATGGCAGTCAAATCCCTGGAGGGCAAGTTTGCTCTGATAGGGCACACCTGACTTGGTTGGACTCACCAAGATTCCTTCCCTTTTGGTGAATGTGAAGTCAACTGATTATCGATATTACATCTACAAATGCATTCTTTGCCATGTGACAGGATGCAATCATAGGAATGACATCCCATTACCCCAGTCTGCGGGTTAGAAACAAGCTCCGGGCCCCCACCACCAAACGTGTAATGTCGTATAAGGATATGGGTTAGTGTATGTTATCTTAGGGTTCCCCCTGACATGCTTGGATACCCACATAGCTTGCTCTCTTACGCTGCTGTTTTTGTTCAGCCTTCAGCCTCGGAACTCACTCTTTTCATAATATTAATATATATGTATATATTTCCAGTATACTTATTATTTTCATGAGGATGAAGTAAGTTATCACATTTATCTTATTTTGTTTATCGTCATGTCCTCTCCTCTGGAATGTAATCTTGTAAAAAAAAATATCACTTTGTGTCTTGTTCCATACTCCATCTTCTTGGTGAGGTTGCTGCCTGAATCAAGGAAGCATTCATTCAGAGAATAAGTAGACAGACTGACTGACACTGTGCCAGCTGTTGACTCTTCACAGGCTCTTTCTGGAACAGTCCTTTCCACACATTCTGGTTGTCTTTGGTGAGTTGCCCTAGGTCCCAAGAAGATAATCCTAATGTTTCTGATTCTAACCTAGCCCTTAATCCTTTCTCTTGGGCCCTGTGTCCAGTTGGCTGCCTGGTCCTGTTGGTTTGTTTCATTTCTGAGCATCCCATTCCCATTATTACTCCTCTAGGTAGGTCTGGCTTGTGTGTGTGTGTGTGTGTGTGTGTGTCTGTCTGTCTGTCTGTCTGTCTGTGTGTGTCTGTCTGTCTGTGTGTGCCATCATAATGACAACTCAACCTAAAAGGAAGAAAGGCTGGTTTTGGTCAGAGACTCCAGACTGTGTCTAGTTGGCCTTGTCACCGTTGTGGGATCATGTGTCAGAGGAGCCTGTTCACGTTGTGGTACCTGGAGGAAGTGGTTAGGGAAAGAGACTGGCGTTTTAATACCCATTTTGAAATCACTTCCCAATGACCTATCTTCCTTCCACTAGGCCCCATCTCTTAGGGATTCTTCCATCTCTTTAGCGGCACTCACTGGGGACCAGGTCTTGAATGTGTACTTTTGTGGGTATTCAGTGCTAAGGAGGGCAGCAGATACCATAACACTTGATGGGCTGTCAGTTTCTCTGCGGCCACCATGATGTCTCCACCACTTGCCTTTCCTATGTCAGCAGTGCCAGCAGCGTCCATTGAACTGAAATCCCTTTAAGGCTGAGCGGTTTCCAGTTCTCAGTTCAGAGGGTTTGAGCCACAGGGCTGTGTAGCTACCACATCCCAAGTGGCTCTCATTGTTCACAGAAGCAAGTATCAACCGTGTCCCCACCCTTGGCCAGCTGTCTTCCCCAGCTTGCCTTTCCATCAGAAACTCCATGCAGGTGGTCTGCACCCACTCCTCAGACAGCAATTCTTCTTCATCCAAGCAGGGCCCCTTGGATGGCCTCTCATATGTTCTTTGCCTTTCTGTTTTTTTTTTAAACTCCTAAATATTTTATGAGACTATGTCTTTGTACAATAGTAATCGCTGTCTGTTTGAAATGCACACTCAAATTGCTGTACCACTAATTTGGCTTTCCATCCATACTATTTTATGTGGCTGCATGTTACCATTATGATGTTATGCTCAGATCTGTCCCTCCAGCAAAGCTGTAAAGTACTTGTACTAGGTAGCTACTGCTTTGTCACAAACCACTTCCAAATCCCATGACTCAGAATAACCTTTATGTTATAGTTCGCATACCCCAGGAACCTGGGGTTGGATGATCTTGTCTAGGCCTCTCTGGCCCCACAGTGCTCTTTGGCTTAGCCAGGCCTCAGCTCCAGTGGAAGCAGAGCTGTTAGATGGACAGCTCTGTCCACCGCTCTCATCCCTGTCTAGTGAGCAGTAGGCTAGCCAAGTCACATTCCTCTAGGTGGTACCTGAAGTACAGAATCACTGGAAGAACCAGGTAAGGTCTCCTGAAACCTAGGCTAGGCACACATTAATCTCAGCTCCTAAAAATGCCAAAGCAAGCCTCGTGACTGAACTCAGAATCAACAGGTTGACAATTATACTGTTTCTTGTAATAGGGGGAACTGCAGCGTCACATTCAAGAGGTGTGGCTATGAGAAGGGGTGAAGACTTGGAGTCTTTTTGCAATTTGCCATATACAGGGTGGATTCTCTTTTGCTTCTCTGTAGTGCCAGCCCTATAGGGCATACTCACCTGTCAGTTCCCTGTGGCTTTGTAACAAATTACCCCAGCTCAGTAGCTTAAAACATTATTGTGTCTATTTATATTCCACAGGCTGGCTAGGCTAAGCTATGTTGGGATGGTTCATCTCTGTCCTGGGTGTTGCTTGTGTGGCCATAATTTGACTACAGGATCTAGAATTCACATGGCTGGCACCTCAGCTGCTATTTCTAGCTGTCTCCATAATTTGTCCAAAGCCTCCTCTATTTCCAATCTCTCCAGCAGAGTAGCTGGACATTTTTTTTCCCTCCCATGGCCAATGCGTGATTTTAAGAAGGCAAAGCCATAGGCAAAGGGCTCTGGGCAAAGACTCAGAAACTGCATAAAAATTTGTCCACATTCTGTTGATCAGCAAACCACAGTGTAGAGTCTGGATTGATTGGGAGGAAGAATAAGACTCACAATACATTGGAAAAAAAAATGCCGTGTGGCTGTTGGAGACTTTGCTGTCCATCTTTGGAAAGGTCCTGCCTGAACAGAATGAGATGTTCAGAAAATACCTGATTAAATGAGCAGTGTGGGTGAGCAGCATCCAGTGAGCAGTGTGGGTGAGAAGCATCCAGTGAGCAGTGTGGGTGAGCAGCATCCAGTGAGCAGTGTCAATGAGAAGCATCCAGTGAGCAGTGTGGGTGAGCAGCATCCAGTGAGCAGTGTGGGTGAGCAGCATCCAGTGAGCAGTGTGGGTGAGAAGCATCCAGTGAGCAGTGTGGGTGAGCAGCATCCAGTGAGCAGTGTCAATGAGAAGCATCCAGTGAGCAGTGTGGGTGAGAAGCATCCAGTGACCAGTGTGGGTCAGATGCATCCAGTGAGCAGTGTGGGTGAGCAGCATCCAGTGAGCAGTGTGGGTGAGAAGCATCCAGTGACCAGTGTCGGTGAGCGGCATCCAGTGAGCAGTGTGGGTGAGCAGCATCCAGTGAGCAGTGTGGGTGAGAAGCATCCAGTGAGCAGTGTGGGTGAGCAGCATCCAGTGAGCAGTGTCAATGAGAAGCATCCAGTGAGCAGTGTGGGTGAGCAGCATCCAGTGAGCAGTGTGGGTGAGAAGCATCTAGTGAGCAGTGTCGGTGAGCAGCATCCAGTGAGCAGTGTCGGTGAGCAGCATCCAGTGAGCAGTGTCAATGAGAAGTATCTAGTGAGCAGTGTGGGTGAGCAGCATCCAGTGAGCAGTGTGGGTGAGCAGCATCCAGTGAGCAGTGTGGGTGAGAAGCATCCAGTGAGCAGTGTCAATGAGAAGCATCCAGTGAGCAGTGTGGGTGAGCAGCATCCAGTGAGCAGTGTGGGTGAGAAGCATCCAGTGAGCAGTGTGGGTGAGCAGCATCCAGTGAGCAGTGTCAATGAGAAGCATCCAGTGAGCAGTGTGGGTGAGCAGCATCCAGTGAGCAGTGTGGGTGAGAAGCATCCAGTGAGCAGTGTGGGTGAGAAGCATCCAGTGAGCAGTGTGGGTGAGCAGCATCCAGTGAGCAGTGTGGGTGAGCAGCATCCAGTGAGCAGTGTGGGTGAGAAGCATCCAGTGAGCAGTGTCGGTGAGCAGCATCCAGTGAGCAGTGTGGGTGAGCAGCATCCAGTGAGCAGTGTCAATGAGAAGTATCTAGTGAGCAGTGTCGGTGAGCAGCATCCAGTGATCAGTGTGGGTGAGCAGCATCCAGTGAGCAGTGTGGGTGAGAAGCATCCAGTGACCAGTGTCGGTGAGCGGCATCCAGTGAGCAGTGTGGGTGAGCAGCATCCAGTGAGCAGTGTGGGTGAGAAGCATCCAGTGAGCAGTGTGGGTCAGATGCATCCAGTGAGCAGTGTCAATGAGAAGTATCCAGTGAGCAGTGTGGGTGAGCGGCATCCAGTGAGCAGTGTGGGTCAGATGCATCCAGTGAGCAGTGTGGGTGAGAAGCATCCAGTGAGCAGTGTGGGTGAGAAGCATCCAGTGAGCAGTGTGGGTGAGCAGCATCCAGTGAGCAGTGTCAATGAGAAGCATCCAGTGAGCAGTGTGGGTGAGCGGCATCCAGTGAGCAGTGTGGGTGAGCGGCATCCAGTGACCAGTGTGGGTCAGATGCATCCAGGGGTCCAGTGCAGCAAAAAACTACAGCATATTTCTTTTCTAGCTGTCTTCATATGTATCAACGAACATGTCAGATTATGGATTTCCTGAGATCCGCTGGCATCAAACAGCAGACTTTGGCTTTGTCCCTAACCTGAAGATGCCCAATACTTTCATGGCTGTCGCTATGGATCTCTGTGATCGGGACTCACCTTTTGGCAGGTATGCTTGCCTCTTCAACTTTGCTTTAGCAGTGAATGTTCCTGCCTGCTGTCTTTCACTGTGATGTTTACTTGTTATGGGATGGATTGGACTATGGGTTGGAGCTTACACATACTATGTATCATCTCTACTGGGATGTGCTGCAATAATCCAAACCAAGCACCCTCCCCAAATACAGAAACCCTGACCAATCAACCAAACAAGACGCCCTTGCCACCTACCTCAGTGCTTTGATACAACAAAAACTTATGTCATGCTCATGCTCATCAATAGACTTTGCTATTTAGAGTTGTTCACAGATCTAGAGCAAAAGTCTCCAAAGACCTGGGATGTAGCTTAGTAGTGGAGTGCTTATCTATTGTGTCCCAAGCCCTAGTACCATCTCTGAAGAAATGAGTCTCCAAGTTTATCTTCCTTCCATCGTTACTTTTAAGTCTTACATTGGGAAGTAAGTGCTGTCATCTGGAAACCATGTGTATTAGTGAAAGTTTCTGTTGCTGTTATAAAACACCATGATCAAAACTGCTTAGAAAGGAAATCATTTATTTCAGCATACAGTTCTACATCACAGTCCATCCTCAAAGGAAGTCAGGATAGTTACTGAAGCGGGCAGGAACCTGGAGGCAGGAGCTGATGTAGAGGCCATGGAGGAATGTTGCTGATTGGCTTGTTCACTGTGACTTGTTCAGCCTGCTTTCTTACAGAAGCCAGAGCCACCAGGGCAGGGTGGCACTGCCCACAAAGGGCTGAACCCTCCCATACCAATTATCAACCGAGAAAGTGCACCACCACTTTCCCACAGGCCAATCTGGTGGGAGCATTTTCTCACTTGAGGTTCCTGCTTCTAAAATGACTCTGGCTTGTGTCAAGACAACACAGACCATACCACACAAGTCATTTTTGCTTACATTGGATCACTAACTAAATCATGGATATAATCACCTTTAGTGAGCGTAGGCCATGGGAGGGAAAGGTGGCATTTTCGTTGCCCGCACCAATGAGTTATTACATACTAGCTGTAGGAGATAGGATTTCAAATAGGAAATGGAGTCTGAAGCATGACCTTTAGATCATAGAAGAAACTTGATAATATTTGTTGAATGACAAATAAAAGGCAGACAGACCCAAATGATGAACATCTGATGAGGTGAAGGATGGCTTTCAGTGGCAGGCAATAGATGATAGCTGCCCTAGGCGGGGTTTTGCAGCCCATCCCATCCCAGCGTAGAAGGCTGATGCGTAGTATAACTAAGCGGCAACCAATAGTCCAACCCTTCTCTCTCCTTTTCTTCCTGCTAGGCCACTGCTGAAGGTCAGAGCTTCATCTCTCTCTATCACTAACTGTTGGTCCTAAGGTCACTGGCCACTGACTACTGATGTCACCCAACTTTATTCTTTTTCTTCTCTTCTTTTCCTCTCCTCTCTTTTTTTCTTCTTGTTTTTTTTTTTTTTTCTTAGCATTTTGAGACAGGTTCTCACTGTGTTGACTAGACTGGCCTGGACTTGTGGTCTTTCTGCCTCTGCCTCATAAGTGCTGCTGTACAGGCATGGGCCTCCACACCCAGAAATTCTTTCCTCCTCGTCTTCCTTTTTTTGTTTTTTGAGACAGGGTTTCTCTGTAGCTTTGGAGCCTGTCCTGGAATTCACTCTGCAGACCAGGCTGACCTTGAACTCACTGAGATCCGACTGTGTCTGCCTCCCAAGTGCTGGGATTAAAGGCGTGCGCCACCGCTGCTTGTCCCTCCTTCCTCTTTAAAAAAAAATGTTTTAGGGACTAGAGAGATACCTCAGTGGTTAGGAACACTTGCCTCTTTTCCAGAGGATCCCAGTATGGTTCCAAGAACCCATATGGTGGCTCATAATTATCTGTCCCTCCAGTTCTAGAGGATGTGACACTTTCTTCTGGCCACCATGGGCACCACGTGTGCATGTGATACACAGACATACATGCAGGCAAAACATACATGCACATAAGATAAAAGTAAGTGCACCTTTGAAGAATTTTTCATTTTATCCCCTCTCGAGTGATTTGAATACTCTCTGCCGTATAACATGTGGTTATTGTGGAGCTCAATCCCATCATCCCATCGCTCTCCGCGTGTTCTTTATGCTGCAGCATCCACCCGCGCGATAAACAGACTGTGGCCTACCGGCTGCACTTGGGGGCTCGAGCTCTGGCTTATGGTGAGACAAATTTGACCTTTCAAGGACCACTACCTAAGAAGATAGAACTCTTGGCTCACAATGGGTTGCTCAACCTTATGTATGACCAGGAAATCCAGGTGCAGAGGCAAGATAACAAGTCATTTGAGGTGAGAATAGTGGGGTTGGGGGTGAGGAGTGGGGGTGGGTGGGGGGGGAACAACACGGACGACTTACCCCACTGAGGCCCTTCCCATCACCGCAGTGGGATGATGAAACAGCTGCTGGTTGGCTGGGGTGGGGCTGAACTTACCTCAGAGGGACAAATGGACAACCGCTGACTCATTGGTATGGACATAAGTTTGATAGAGCAACCAGGGAAGGGAAAATTCACCCCTAATAAACCATATTCCTTTCCTATTTCCTTTCTCAGTCACCTTGGTTCAGGGAATGGCCTTATTCGTACTTTATCTGTTAAATGATCATTGCTCTAAAATAACCCCCCTAAACCTTAGCTGTCTTTTTGTTGTTGTTGCATGCTGCTAAAGTCTGAAGTTCTTAGAGTTTAGCGTTTCTCTTGAAAATCTTAAGCTTGGTGATTTCCAGCTTAGTATGAATGAATGTAGGCAGTCCACTTTCTTCCACTATCCAGCAGGGATCACTTCTGTAGAATTGGGGTCACTGATTAAAGAGATGAATTAGACTCGCTTATAGTTGAGAGGAGAGACATTCCTAGACGGCTGGCTTTGGGCATCCTGAGGATACTAGGCTGGGAGGTGGCTTGTGAGGGGAGGACACTGCAGGAGATGATAACAGTGACAGGTACCCTTTATGCAGGAGTTTAGAGCTGCAGCTCCCAGGAGTCCACATACCTCAGACGCCTGGTCAGTGTCTGATGGGTTTGAGGTGAATTTAGAGACTGTGGAGAGATCTTTACTCTCCCCGTTGTCGGCTGGTGGTCTGCCTTTCACCCAGCCCTGAAGCCACGGTTGGAGTTAGGGTAGAATTTCACCTTTAGGGTCTGGGTCACTTGTCTTCTCTGGACTGCTTTCTAATGCCCACAGTTCAGCTGCCAAGGTTGCTTTGTGACCTGTCCTTCCTGAGTACCTCCTCTGGGAGTGCCAGAGAGCCACAGCTGGGTTGGTAGCTCACACATTGGTGCTGGCTTTGGCATCTGGAGGGAAGGGTCAACTGGAGAATGTTTGGGGGTCCAGTCTCTGAGTGCTTGACTATTTTTCCTTGTCTCTCTGGAAAGTTAATAGTTTTTAATTGATTTCAGTTATTTGATCACTTGGACATTAAACTTTCTTTTTGGTGCTGGGATCAAGCCCAGGGCCCTGTACATGCTAGGCATGTGCTCTTCTACCAAGCTATACCTTTAGTCTACATGAACATTTATTATTTACTGTGGCTCTGTCAACAGACCCATCTGGTCCAGGTTCTGATTACTGTAGGAAACTGGTCTTTGGCTCAGAGTGGCCTTATTTTCCCTCCTTTCTAGTATGCCTGAAAGAGCAGTTCCCAGTTTTTTTGGTAGACCCTTCTAACTTGCCTGGCCATTCTTTTTTTCTCTTATTAGATCTCCTGTTGCAATGACCATCAGTGCAAATGGCTTCCAGCTCCTGTGAACAGTTTTTCTACCAAGACCCTGCTCTTGGGTGTCAATGCTTGTCTTGGCACCGTAGTTGGTGTTCGCTATGCCTGGACCACATGGCCCTGTGACTATAAGCAATGTGCCATTTACCACCCTAGCAGTACCTTGCCAGCTCCTCCCTTCATTGCTGTTATCACACAGCAGGTCCCCAGACTTAGGACAGGGGCATCAGGCGCTTCTTTACAAGGGCAACTTCTTTAGATTTGGACATTTAGGAGTTTAAATGATGACGGCAAGTAATAGAAGCCTCATTGAATAGCTCCCAGATGGCCTATGACTGTTCCTGAATTCTGAGATGAGCACTGGCTGACAGACACTTGAGATGCTCATCTTTGTCCTCTAGTTAGCTCAAGCTCTGTGCTGATCTAATTCCTAACTACAACATTGGGCCTCACCCACTTCCCTGGTAGAGGGAATGGAATGCCCTATTTCTGCCCTTCATTCAAAGCTGAACTCTCAGGCTTGCAAGAGATTTTAAAGGTCCCGGAGACTGGTGCTTCATGTGTTCTTTACAAAACCCCCAAAATGGCTATGGAATGCTATGAAGTTTCCATCTAGGGAGCAGAATCTTTTATCAGATGTTCCTACCCCATGACAAGATATTTCAGGTAACCTTAGACACACCACATATTTGTATCCTCATTGAGTTCCCCCAAACTATCTGTTTTCAGCCCAAATCTTATTCTAAAATGAATCTTCGAGACAATCAGTCCTATGTTTAGGCACTTTGGCAGGTGCAAAGCACTGGCCTTAAGGAATAAAGAGCGAGAGCCCAAAGGGTGGAGAAATCACAGGCATAGGAACACATGAAAGTAGATGCACTTGGGGCAAATAGGTCCTTAAAGTCTCAGGTCCCTGAGAGATAGAAGTTCAACTAAGGCTAATCCCCATTGAGGAAAGAATTTAGGCTGACAGGAAAGCTACATGGTAAACTTATAGAACGAGTACAGGTGAGGCAAAGGCGATCATGCAATTTACCATTTGATGACAGACAGATGGCAGCTCTGAAAATTGCATCTACTAGAAATTATAAGCCAAGTATGATGCCCACACCTTTAATGTCAGCACTTGAGAGGCAGAGACAGGCAGATCTTTGAGTTCAAGGCCAGCTGGTCTACAGAGTGAGTTCCAGGACAGTCAGAATTATCTAGAGAAACACTCTTGAACACCTCCATAAAGATATTGGAAATAAAAGTATTATAATTAATGATGTGTCTGTATATATAGTCAAATTGTTAGAGACTTACAAGGGTCTTGAAGCATGGGAAAGGAGTACAAGTGTCATCTGTACATAGCGCTTTTGTTCTTTGATGTGAGGAGTGGGAACGTAAGCAGTGAGTATTGCTCATCACTGTGGGGCTCTGTGCCATTCAAAGCAGCGAGAAAGATGTTGTGTCAGGAGTTTATTTGGTTAAAAACTAAACCAAACCAAACCAAACCAAAAAACCAAAACCAAAACCCCAAACTATACATTCTGCAAGGGCTGTTGACTTGTGTGGATTTCTAGCCTGCATTTAATTCCCAATGCCCACACTTTGACCTCTCTGCATCTGGCCATATGAGAACAAAAGCTCCGTAACCATCAGTTCCCATGAAAAAGTCAAATCTACCTTCCTGTCCCTCTGCCAAACCCTGGTGTTAATCCCACCAAATGAGAATAAGGACTACCACCCAAATTCTTTGGTTCAATTACACAAGCTTTATTTTATATCAGACAGGGCTGTCTCCCTAAATAGGGGAAATAGAGAAAACAGCATCAACACAGGAGATGGAAAGGCTTATATAGTCTAAAAAATCTATAAGACTAGGGGGTTTTCAAGGATTGGGGGATTTCCAGAGGAAATTTAGCCGAACATTTCAAAAATTATTTGGTAGAACATCTTATCAGAATATATTCAGGGTGTGAGTCAAATTCCAGAAACAGGCTAGAGCATGGTCAAGGTTGAATTGCAGCAAACAGAAATGAACTTACTCTGACCTTATAACAAAGTGGCTTCTATACTTAAAATGAAGTTAGGCTGGTTCATCACTGGCACACATGCCCATGTTGCTCTAATGTGGAGGCTACTAGAACCCCAACCCAGTGTCTTTTAACACCAATAATTGGTACATACAGTACAAACTTTGTCTCAGGTAATGTATGCAGTAATGAAGCCAAGGATGAATCACATTTTTAGTGTTTGAAAAGTCCAAAACATTGGGTGAGGATTGTGTATTTCCCCAAATGAGAATAATTTTAACTGTCTGAAACTTAAAGGAGAGTGTCAGTAAAAACCATCTACAAGAGCTAGTTCCAGGATAGCCTCCAAAGGCATAGAGAAACCCTGTCTCGAAAAACCAAACCAAACCAAAACACCCCCCCAAAACAAACAAAAAACCCCCAAAAAACAGCCCTGAGTCATCACTCAAAGAGAAGCCTGGCTTGTATTTCATATGATATATAATTATGTTATATATACCATATATTTTATTATCATATATACATATTACATATTTGCATGATTTACATATATATCATATATAAATACATATAAACTATAGTTGAAACTAACTTTTCATGTCTGATATATTTTAGTGGGATGTGAATTTATTCAAATTATTTTATTTTGAAAAGATGTAGATGTTGACTTTCAAAATTTTTGTTTTTTTTCTTTTTGAGATAAGGTCTCACTATGTAGCTCTGGCTGTCCTGGAACTGTGTAAATCAGGCTGCCCTTGAACTCAAGAGATCCTACCTCTGAAGTGCAAGGATTGAAGACATGGGCCGCTATACCCAGCAACTTCTTAAATTTATGCAGTTAGTGGATTAAAGTTTGTAGTTCAAAAGTTATGAACTTGTGTTAATCCACCTTGTTGTAAAAATTTCTTTGGAGATAGGATCTCACTCCTAGTCTTGGCTGGCTTTGAACCCACAAATCTACCTGCCTTTCCTTTTTGGGATTAAAGGTGTGTACCACCATGCTTGGTTTAAAAATGAAATGTTTAGTTTGCCTTTACTCAGGCTGTAATCCAATGCACCAGTATTTTTGTATGATAAAAGGAGCATGCTGTAATAACTTGACAAAAACAAGACCGTGTGTTACTGGTGTTCTCTCCTCTTTCAGCCTGGTAGATAGGAAGCTATGAACTTGGGCCCAAGTTAGTGTGGTGCATGATGCAGGAGGTGGTACAGACCCCCCTCCCACCACCTTTAAAGCTGTATGTAGGGCCTAGAAGGTCCAGTTGTGTAGAGTATGGTCAAAATGAAACGACAATGAGTCTGTATGGAGGAAGGGAACTAATCCTCAACTGTGTCTTATCTGAATTTGTGTTAACATTGCGTACAAGTGAATTCTTTAATAAGGAATTGAGTTAGAGGACTTTATTCCCTCAAAAGGAGTGCAAAATTTGACAACAAAGATGAACAAATATGAGTTCCCAGTTTGAAGATAAGCAGAGAACTTGTCCTACTGACTGACAAGAAAATAAAGCTGGGGCCTGGGTTACAGGGCCTGGTGGCATAATATTCCTGACATTCCTGACTAGAATTAGAATTTAGTGTAGCGTGTTGTTAGACTCTGTTTACTTCATGAATCAGCAGCTGCCATGAACTTACTTTGTTAATCCGAATCCCTAAGTGATGTTATAGTTACAGCCTTAGGGAGGAGAGTAGGTCAAAATGGCTCTGCATAGAACTAGTCCCCTATAAAAGGGACCTGGTGACTCCCTTCCACATGTAGTCATAGCAAGACAGCTAGGAACCAGGCATCTTGAACTCTGACTTCCCAGGCTCCCAAACTGAGAAATAAACTTGTTTATAAGCTACCTAGTGTATGGTATTTTATCATAGCAGCCCAAACAGATGTAGGTTTATGGAGGTTCACTTCAGGGAGAGCTAAGCAAACATGGTCATATTCTGACTACAAGAAGATTAAAAATAAGCAGAACTGTCAAGAGATATTTATTACTAAAAATAAAAGCAACTGAAGCTTATCCCAGGGTACACTGTCAGCACGGGAACATCCACGGTGAAGTGTGTTAATATCATCCCTCCTTCTCGACTGCTGCCTTCTTCCACATAGAGTAAGTTTTAGTTTAGGTCAAAAGCTCATGATGAGAAGGAAGCGGCCTCTTCCCCTCTTCAGTCTGAAGACTGCATTGGGCTACACTGTGAGGGAGACTTCAGGTGCTGTAGGTCAGTGTCCACCAAGGGTTCGTGCGTCAGGAACTCTGGCTGGTAAGATGACACAAAGGCTTCATGCTGAAGCTCAGGCAGGTCCAGAGACCCTGGAAAAAACAATTCCTTAATTGCACCACTGCCTTGGAATCTCATGACTGCCTTGGCGGAATACACAGCCTCTTAAATTCCTTATACTTGTAAAAATCAATCCTATTTTGCCCTGGGTTGGTAAAATAAACAGACAGGTATTTATTTAACAAAGGAAAGAAAATGAAAAGATGTAGTGAATTGTCATACATATAAACCATTATGAACCTAAACTCCTGAGCCCTGACCACTTTCCGCTTATGGGAAATAAACCAGGCAACATAGGTAGGGCCAAAAGCCACCACTGACCTTTGACTTCACCTTAAGTTTTATTCCCTGTTCAGCAAACCCTACCACTTCTGTTCTGTGACTTAAGTGACAGAATGAGACACTGAAGTCTCTGGACAGGTTCTGTGAGTGACATGGGGGCCCCAGGCACGCTTCCCATCCCCCTCACTCTGCACTCTCTATGGCTGGCTCAGTGAAGCATGCGGCTCACTGCCCACCAGTGTGTGATGAGGGTACCACAGTCTAAAGATGGTCGGTTCTCAAACCAAAAAGGCAAAGTTAAAAGATACCTGGCAGAATGGAGTCCTCATGGTCATCATCAAAGGTCTGTGTCTCAAAGGCGTCAAGGCTCATAGCTGCGTCATTCTCTGTCAGTTCCTGGGACAGCTGCCGCTTGCTGGGTTTGCATGCATCAGACTTCACCCACTGGTAACTGTGGACCGAAGGGAATCATTCTTGAGAGCTGTCTGTTATCCATAACCCTGCCTATCAAATAGATTCATTTTTTCCACCATTAGGTCTTCCCCACTATATATCTAAAAAGCATCAGTTAAGAGAGACAACCCAAACTTGAGCAGGCAAGCCTCTGGTGACAGGTGACAGTGCTCCATGGTACACACACAAAATGGCACAAATTGAGCAGCCTTAATTTGAGAATTCAAAGTATTTCCAAAACATTTTATGTAACCATGAAAAGCCATAGATGGGAAATTCCACACCTCATGGAATGGTCACAGTTAAAATGAAGGTGCACTGAAAATATTATATAAAAACTGTACAGGGTATATGTGTAATGTGAACAGGAAACAACTGGATTTCCTGTTTGGATTTAGTTTTGCCCCCAAGTTACCTCTTGTGTATATAAAGTCACCCCCTGTCCAAACTTGATCTAAAGACCAGAACCTCAAGAGATCTGCCTGCCTCTGTCTTCTGAGTATAGGAACTTGAGGTGTGTACCACCATGCCTGGCCCACATATAAAACCCAAAATGACCACCAATAAATCACATCTGAAGCACGTTTCATCAAACATTCTGGATATGGAGCAATCAACCTAGCATGCAGCACACTGGGTAATGGGCTCCCGCTCACCGGTCTAGATGGGTAAGTGGGTCAATGCTGTGGACACGGTGACGGAGCAAGCATACCTCTGACGCAGAAACGCACACACGAACAAAGACGTGATTGCCAGTGTAGGACACTGGTCCGCTGGCAACTGAGCGTCTAGCAATGGTTTGTTCACACTTACTTGACACAGTTTTGGGCTTCTGGACAGCTCTGAATCAGGTTGTGGATGACTGGATGAGAAAACCCGAAGAACTCAGCACCACATGAGAGTAGGTTAGGCATCAGTTTCCCCCTAAGCAAAGGAGAGACTTTAACTTGAGCTTAGGGGGAGATGACGACAGGCTTGAAAATGGGATCGTGGTATGAACACACACCACACTTGAACTTTCCTGATATACTCCGAGGCTAGCCTGAAGGACATAGCTTAGGCTTCTATAAGGCACTGAGAAAGAAAAGGTCTCAGCTGTGCCAACAGTGACCCCTTTAGTGTGGCCTCAAGCTGGTGGCCAACTTACGTTGCAGCACTGATGGTCCTGACCAGTTCTTCATAACAGGCATCGGCAGAAGAACCGACGATGGTATTCTGGGGGTCATCTTCAGGAACAATTTCAAACTGAGAATGACAGGAACAATGAGGTCAATTTGCAAGGGGGAGAAGTAGAGTTGTAGGATTCCTACAGTCAGTCAGTCCCAGGCTCTAGAGCTGAAGCTGCCGCACATGCCAGATGGACACAAAAGCGTCTTACAATGTTGCTAAAAATCACACCCAAGTAAACAGAAAATTGTGACTTTCGATGCTTTACATCTTGCTTGACTTTTGGCCAGCACTGAACTTGCTCCATACCCTTCTATTTATAGTCCAAGTTCAAATACAAACGGCACTTTACAGAAACGAGATACATTGTTCTGTTACCTCTATTTCTCTGGGAAACGTAAGGGTACCTAGAAATATTCTTGGCCAAAGGATACTTCCCCAGTTTTTACTGCGTATTTATTTTTCTTCATCTTTGCTAATATTGGATATTATCAAACTAAAGTCACCTGATGTTGGGGGGAAAAATTCAAGCAAAATTTTATCATAAATAAATCCTATTATACTTAAAAATAGAATCTTGTTTGATTAGTGACCTAAAAACATTACATTTTTCTTTTTTCTTTTAGCATTTTATCTCTCAGAGGAAATTAAGAATCATGTTGTGATTTTCATTAACATTCTACTGAGACCCTGAATGGATGTGCACTGCATTTACAAGATATTGAGAACGTGGTACACTGCACAGTGGTAACCCTGCCTACTAGCACTTTCTGTGGAGCACGCTCTGGGGTTAAGATGGTGTCAGACTCCGACAGTGATACAGTTCCCCACCCAGTTAGGCAGGCTCAGGTTCTCCTACTCAAGTGTCCTTGCTAAGCCTCCAGCTCACGTCTCTTGATTGGCAGCTCTATCAGAAAGTGAAACAAGGAACTCTGAAACTGCTTTTGCCTGAGGGTCTTCGTATCTTAGTTGAAGCCACAAGATATCAAATATCGTCTCTGAATGAAGTTGCACTTAACCTAAGCCAGCTTGTTTTAGTCTCAAACAGTAATGGTATGAGTGGTAAAATTACCATGGCTTAAGGGAAAAGATAGCACCTAGCAAATTAAATACAAATTTGTATCCCAGAGCAAATACCCAGCCCTACAGCTGTGACAGAGCTTGCCAGTTTTTCTGCATCTTGGTGTTGTACAAACAGAGATTACAAGGTATCTTATAGTGTGTCAGAATAAGTACACAGTTAAAAAGCTAAGGATAAAAGGAGGTTCTCAAAACAGAAAGGAAAAAAAAAAACTGAACAAGAAGAAGGAAAATAATCATACTGGCATGAGTACCTGAGGCTGCACACCACCATCCTTGACCTGACAGGTATACAGACACTTCTGGTCTGGGTACTTCATGCTGGCAAACACTCGAGTACTGCAGTAGCCCACAGGGTAGATGGCACTCTCATCATGGAAGCCAGGTCGGTTGGTGATGATCTACAAAAGATTCCCCAATCCGGAGTTGAGGTCACTTATGGCTTTATTATGGTAGCCGTTAGAGCCACTTTGGGACTGCCAAGAGTGACAAATCAAACAGAAAGTGATGGCTGTGAGCAGACAAAACTGACCTGGTTTCGTAGGGCCTAGAGAGTTTCTGGGGCTGGTATGGGTCAGCAAAGGGTTGCTGCCAGTGGGAACAGGGAAGGCTCAACCCCACTCCCACGGTTCTGATTATCCTGTCTATGTGCTGGTCTCACTCACCTCCCCCAGGCTATATACTGTTAGACCCCCTAGTCCGATGGGGAACACAGGCCGTCCTGAGGGATCCAGGGCAATGGACCGAACCAGCTTGCGAGCACCTCCCTCCATTTTCTTTTTCTTGGATGTTTTCTTCAGAACTGAAACGTAAATCTGGGGTCACCCACTTCAGGTCCCTTCCATGGACAAGGGGAGGGGAAATTTACATGTGAATGATAAAGGCAGAAAAATGCTCTTTATGATGGCATTTTATACCATAAAACCATCATAAGTTGAAAATACTGTAAGTTAATGCACATAATAAATCTAACTTAACAAATATCATGGCAACTGAGTACACTGTGGAGTATTAAGTATTTCTACAAGTGTGTGTCTGCATAGAGATATGGCTTGATGCCATTAGTTAATACCAGAGCATCACTATCTTAAGAAAAGATCAAAATTCAGAGTCCAATTTTAACTTAATGTATCCTGCTTTCATAAAATTGTAAAACTGAAAAATCACTAGTTGAGCCACTCACTGTAACTGAGATACCATTTGTATTCACTAAATAGCCATATGGGGCTTGTCCCCCACAGCCCAAATATCTAACTTGCTTACTGACATAATATAAGCACTGCAGTGCTAAAAAGTCTTCCATTGTAAAGTATTCTTCAACTGTGCAACCAGGAATTGCTGAGCTAGCAGTGTGCTCAGAAGGCCACCCTGCCTGTAGGAAGGGGTGTGGTGAGTGCAGTCAAGTGACTGCCCAGGCATAAGATGGGCGGAGGCCCCAGGCTGCTTCTCCCCATCTATCAGGCCTAAGTGGCTCCAATAACATGCGGGCTTCTCAAGGGGCTTTAGGAAACACAGGAGGCCCCGTGTGCCAGTTAGTCTACCAGGGCTTGGACATCAGTAGAGCCACGGAGGCAATGTCTTCTTAAGATACCTTCCAGTTTGTTGTTCTCCTTGCCCTTTTCTTTTTTCTCCTTCTTGGATTTCTTCCCAAAGGGTTCCTCGGCCCCAGCGCTGGGTCCAGCTGCCTGGATAGTTCCCACAGAGCCGGCCACACCATAAGCCAGGGGCAAACTGGAGCTGTGGGAAGGGGCGGGAGCCTGTGGTTCCCCTTCTGTCAGAGCCTGAAGCTGGAGGAGCTTCTTCAGCAGGTATCTGAGGAGGGACAGGGAAGAAGGGAGGAGGCATGAAGGTCTTTTTTTCTCTTCAATTTATTACTTTCCTAAGTACTGGGAATTACAGAATGCCAAACAAAGATCATCACACTCACACAATAGGGTCACAATGATGTGCCAGAGGGTAATCAATGCTCAAGAACTCAAGATAATGACTAGAGCTTCATGCACCAGCAGGGCTCTTTCAGAGTGGAAGGCCTTAGGGTCTGGAGGGTATTCATATGAATTAGAGGTACCCACATACCCACTGTGCTTTGCATAGGGAAATACAGACTCAATATTTGTAGAATGAGAAGCAGCATTTTTTTACCCCTTGGTTTTCAAAATTGGGAAGTGATAATAAGATAACTTGTTACGTGGAGCAAGAAGGCTCTGACAGGAAGAAGAGAGGAAGAACTGTGTTGTCATCAGAGCCCAACCTGGATGTGAAACACCACAGGCTTGGAGTTTCTCAAGTGGCCAAGGGGTTATGCAATGTGCAAGAATCAATTGATGAAAAAACAAACAAAAAACAAAAACAAAAAAAACTACTCCATATCAATCACCACCAACAACAACAAAATGAAGCTAGCTTACCTTCTTTCTTCTTTTGCTTTAAGAAATTTTTCCTCAAGACGAGCAATTTCATCACAAACAGCGGCATTTTCCTTTAAGAAAAAAATGAACTGTAATCACATAAAACGAATTTAAAAATGAAGCTATTTTCTGGGAACAAGATCTGTATCTCAAACTAACAAAACCCCTCTGTGCTTTCAGAAGAAAAGGGAAATGCTATTCTACTCTGTGCACAAGCTATCAGTACATCTTTACAGGACTGGGAGATTGCTCAGCAGGGAAAGACATCTTCCATGCCAAACAACTTGCATTTGATCCCCAGAACCCATAGTGGAAGGAGAGAAATGCCTCCTGACAGCTGTCTGCTAACCTCTACATGTGCTTGGTACCACACACACATTAATAATAAAAAGGAATTTCTTTAAAATAACCTGTAGGCAAACTGTTTGGGTTCTACTGCAGGCAGAGTAATTACATAGTTTCTTATCCAATGAAGGGACACCTTTCAATGAACAAAGGTACTTTCAACACATATGCCAGAAAAATGTGCACACTGGGGTTGGCATACATACACCAGGCAAATCGAGGTATGTGGTCACTCCAATTAGTGTAGCCTTTGGCAGAGGAAAGGATATACTACTTAGACCTGAACTTATCAAATTTCTAAGGACTAGCCATGCTCAACAGTCTTGACCTAGACAAGGACCATCTAATCCAGAGTATTTTATAGGACAATACCTTAGAGAGAAAAAGGATGAGAAGTTAAATAATGTGTAAAATCTCTAGTATCATCATCCTTTACTTATGACTCAGTCTATCTTAAAATCAATTCTGGGCCGGGCGGTGGTCGAGCACGCCTTTAATCCCAGCACTTGGGAGGCAGAGGCAGGCGGATCTCTGTGAGTTCGAGGCCGGGCTGGACCGACAGCCTCCAAAACAATACAGAGAAACCCTGTCTTGTAAAAACCAAAAAGAAAAAAAAATCAATTCTGAAGGAAATGCCCATTTGGGAGCTTTCATAGGTGGAACTGCCATTTCAATGTTCAAAACATCCTCTGGCTTCACAAGATTTTCATATTCTTATAAGAACCATCATCCTTAAGGAACAAATTTTAAGCATTAGGCAACTCTGACATGAAGTGACAAAAGGGAACGAATGGTAAATGAGGTGTTGCGTATCTTGATTTACTTTTCTTATTTTTGTCCAACACACACACAAATGTTAATGTTTTAGAAATGCCAGCTTTAACGTCAAAACTTTCCCTGATGCATCCAGAAGGCCTAATATGTTTAACTGAAATTTTGTAGAAAGAAGAGTTAAACCACCGATTCAGATGTGTGGGAGCATTTGGAATGTGTAAACCTATTTCCAAGCACTGAGGTGACTCTGGTTAAACCAAGAATAGTCTAATTATTAGAGTTATCAGACGCTAATAGGTTTTGGTTGGCAAGGCAGTTCATTCACTAAATCTGAAACCCCTGCAATTAAGGCAGGAAGTGGCGACACACCTCAGCAACAGGCTGCGGTGTGACTTCCTTATGTGATGAGTTCCACTCCCAGTACTTGGTAGAGGGAAGGCAGAAACACCTTAGAAGCCTCGTCAAAAGGAGCTGCAACCCGGGCATCTCTGAAAGACTCAGAGGCCTGTTTAAGCAAGGCATCAGCCATAGCGTTGGGGTTGGGGTGTACTTAGGAAACAGGCTGTGTAGTGTAAATAAAACTTTAATCAGGACATTCACGTTGGAGTCGGGGCAAACCACCTGTCAGGGCTTCAGTGTTCTTGCCTTAAATGACACTTAACTGCTTGGCTCATCTAGAAAATGAAACGCAGCAAGAAGGTGACGATGGCAGCTTACTGGCGGAGCACTCTCTGCAGTCCTCATTTACAGGGGAGTAGACGGGGCTAGAGAAATGACAACTAATGCAAGGATAGGGGGCCAGTACGTGATGGAACTAACGCTGGACGGATACTGTGGGGGGGAAAGCAGTCTCCAGGGGGAGAGCGGCCGAACCCAGACTCACAAACACCGTGGCCTTGGCCGCTTTGCGCAGCCGCAGGTACTTCAAGCGGTACTTCTCGTTCTGGCTCTTCTTCGGGAGCTTTTTCATCCTGGCCTTGTGGGACAGCGGGGTGCGCGGCTCGGAAGCCAGGTCGCCCAGCAGGCTCATGATGCCACCCCAGCTCGGGGGCTTCGGGCCGCGGGGGGCATGGAGGGGACGTAGAACCAACCGGCGTTCCCAGGCACTTCCGCGTCGGTAACCAAAGGAGCCCCGCCGGAAGTTGCGCAACAATACAGACACGTATAACTTCCGGGTTCGGGAGCTGCGGGTGGTCCGGGCCTAGAGGAGGGCTGGGTGGAGGGGTGTGGCTCGGGGTAGCAGGGAGACGCTGAGGTCTTCCCCGGGTATTAGCGTGCTTAGTAAACAGAAGAAGACACACCCGAATGCAAAAACCCTAAACCCTCAGACAAAACCCGTACTCGCTGCGCTCAGGCGGGTGCCAGGCAACACCTGCTTTTCCCAGTTGCTCTGAGCAGGCTTTATTGGGTTTTAGGAGACTTGAGTATGAGGGCTGGAACTCAGCTCCCAGACAGAGAAAAAGACCTTGATTGTCCCAAAGCGTGGGATGTAGTTAGCGGCTTTAGTAAAATGTTAGAGCATGAAGTCGGCCTTCAGTGGTTTTTGAATGAAACCAAGAGTGTTTCTATGCACATACCCCCATTTTTAAAAATCGTTTAATCTTTATAACTAGGGTCAGTTGAAGGATGGGCAAATATTTAAGTGCAAGATGACTCTAGACCCGACAGCAGACTTACATTCTTTTAGTAGTGCCACAAAACTAGTTGGCTGAGCCTCTTGTTCAGTGTTTTTTTTTTTTTATCTCTCAAAACTATATAAGTAATGAGATGGGTGGGATTTCCAAACTAGTGTCCTGATACAGAAGGGAATTGTTGTTAAAATTATCAAAATAAAGACATTTAAGATTGTACATGAAAGTTCAGAAAGATGTTACATAATTAGCCAGTTCATTGAATTACTAAAGAAAAATTAATAAAAACAATTCAGTAAGTGACCCAGGTACTTTGTCTCTGAACGCTGTAAAAAAAAAGTTGCAGTTTTGACAAAATGGATTTTGTTTATTTTGTTTTTCAAGATAGGGTTTCTCTGTGTAGCTCTGGTTGTCCTGGAACTCACTCTGTAAACCAAACTGGCCTTGAACTCACAGAGATCCACCTGCCTCTTGCCTCCTGAGATTAAAGGCGTGTGCCACCACCATCCTGCGACAAAATGGGTTTTAACACAGAGAAAAAGCTTGTAGATATTCTCCTGTAACTGCCCAGGTTACAAGCTGCTTTTGGTGGAAGTAATTGTGTCTAATGGTGCAGCTCCAGGTGCCGTTTACCTTTACAAATGTACCTAAGGTAGCCCTGTAGATTTGGTTCTGGAAGCTCTAGGTGCCATTTGCCTTCACAAATGTACCTAAGGCAGCCCGTAGTTCTGGTTTTGGAAGCTGTCAAAATTATGACAGTCTACAGAATGCACTGTCTCAGAAAATATGTACTGAAATGTTATCTGGGGACCTGAAAGAAATCGTGCTTGATTTTTACTACAAAACAAAAACAAAACGTTATTTTTAATTGCTGGATTTGCTGTCTAGCTATGTTTCATTCTGTTAGGACTCTGAGATCTGACTTTGTATTATTCATCTTTTTCCTGTCATCCAGGAGGAAACTCCCAGCCTCCATTTTTAATCTGCAGGCTGTTTTGGTCAATGGACTTCAGTAGAATATACACAACCATGTTTATTGTTTCTGCTTCATTAAAGACTTCCTCTTTTACAATTAACACACTTTCCTTGCACATTTTGTAAATCAAGACGGTATTATTTATTTGTTGGCTTTTAGAGAATGGGATCTTTAAACTCATTATGTAGGGGAAGATAATCCTGAATTCCTTGTCCTCCTGTCTCTCCCAAATTCTAGTACTACATGGCATCGACAATAGTATCCAGTTTAGGGAGTTTTTTTTTTTTTTAATCCATGGTCTAGGGTCTAACTCAGTGGTAGAACACTTGTCTAGTAAGTGAAGGGTCCGGGGTTTGATTTCTATCGCTCCTGAATAAATAAATAAATGAATAAATGAATGAATAAGAGAGGACCCAAGTTTAGTTCGCAGTCACTGCCTCCTTTGGCTCACAAACATCTGTAATTCTAATCCAGCTCTAGGGGATCCTACATGAGCACTTGCACTCACATGAGCAAGCCTGTCCCCCATAATAACTAAACTCAAGGCAATTAAAAGTTAAAAGAAAAGCAAATCTTTGAAAAAACAAAAACAAAAGAAACCCTTTATTTTGAGCTTGATCCTGTTCATATTAAACTTTTGACCTCCAAAACAAACACAAACAAAACAAACAAGAAACCACCACAACTAAAACCAAACAAAAACAACAAAAAGCCCCCCAAGAAACCCATAATGCTGCCTCTTTGAATGAGTTAACATTTTAGCGTATGTGTCTGATAGTCTCATAAAGGTTAGGCCACACTGAATACAATGTTTCTTTGTGGTTATTTATTACCATCTTTTAAAGAGTTATGGCTTCTTTGAAAGCACTGTCTTGTTTTATTTTTTATTTTTTGGTGTGTATGTGTATTTGTGTGTGTGTTCACCTGGGTGTGAGAGCACATTTACCTGTGTAGATACACAGGGAGGATGGGGATTGATTTTCTCAGTGTCTTCTCCAGTTGCTTTTCTATCTTACTTTTTGAGAATTTTTTTCTCCCTGAGTCTGGAGCCGTAGTGGCTAGACTGGCTGGCCATTGAGTTCTAGGAATCTGCCTGCCTTGGCTCCCCAGTGCTGGGGTTATAGGTGTGCACTGCCTCACCTGGCTTTTCAGGTGAGAGATGTTGATCTGAAATTAATGTCTAATACTTGCGCAGTAAGAATTGTTCCCTGTGAGCTATCTCCTCAGTCCTGAAAGCATCATTCAAATGTGTTTTAACTGTTCCAGCTCTGGTTATATTGTCTTTTGCACAATTACATGTATGTTGTTTGACTTTTTATTTATTTGTGTGACACACATCTTTGTGGCCAAGGCCACAATTTCTCAGAAGCAACATGACTTTTCTACTTACCTATAGTAAGAGGGATCTAAATGGCTTATGTAAAAATTCTCTCAAGAAATACATAACACACAGAGTAAAAAATATTCATTAAGAGACAACGTGGTACTATGGGTAGACCACGGTCTATGGAATCAGAGGAAAGCTTTGGCAGTTAGATGTGAGGGTAGAGTAGTGGATCAGAGAATGTGCACACATGGATCAATGTGACTTTTATGTTTAACATTTATTTATTCATTTATTCATTTTACTCATTTTTTATTGATTTGCATGTGGATATCAGAAGCTAACTTGCAGGAGTTGGTTCTCTCCTTCTACTATTTGGGCCCCAATGACTGAATGATTGAATGCAGGTCATCAGGCTTGACAGCAACCTACTAGCCTTCAGTTGTCGGCTGTAAGTGAAGGGGTAGTATCCCTTGAACTATTAAACCTTGTGAAAATGTTCATAGTCCACAATCTGAGACCTTGTGGAAAAGAAGTTTCAGTTTATATATTAAAAAGTGTATTTGCCTCTTAAAAGGTTCCGCTCATGGCCTATATTTCTGTCCTTACATCCCAAGAGCAGATTACGAGTTGAAATTATTGTCTCACTTTGAAGGCCATGGAAGGCTTGACAAGGCTGAAGATGACTACAGGGCAAGATGAACAGGCAAAATCAAGGTGTGTCTAGGGGTTTCACCTCCTTATTAGTCTCTTACTAAATTTTTCTACCTGCTTATTGGGGTGAGGCAAGTATGACTTTTAGAGTTAGTGGGTATTATAAGAATTTTCTTCCATAAATAGCTTTTATGTCTAGACTTAATTTCAATTTAGTCATTCAGTTTACTGTTCTCAGAATACTCTGTACCTAATTTTTCAGTTCTTTGACACTTCTAGACTTTTGAATTTTCATGCATTGATTCTATCTTCTTATAAATACAGGACATTAAGCCAAGTCCATCCTTATTAATTTCAAGTGGATATCATCATCATCATCATCATTTGTTTTGGTCTTTTACTCTGTATAGCTTGTGAAGAAGGAGAATTACTTTATACAAAACTTATCTCCCCATGGTTCCTTTCTTAACTATGGGTGTTCATCATACGCCTGTTGGGCGAGATGTTTAGGTTTTGAGGGTTCTAGCCCAGCCAATAAGGTCATAAAATCCACCACTGTGTCGATGTTGTGTTTCTGGGTGGTTGTGTCTTTCAACACACACAAGACATTCAGCCAGCTAAAAGAGATGAGCTCAGAAATGTTAGCTCGGAGGAAAAGAAGGATCACATTGAGGTCATTGATGGGGCATCCCAGCATCTTTCTACTGAGGAGATCAAAAGCTGGGAGCATCTCATAGATGGAGAGGAGTCGTTTGTCCCACCGGCACAGCCGTGTAATGTTGTATATTATCACCGGAACCAGTATGGTGTATATTATTGCACTGGAGAGACTAACAATCTGGAACACAGACAGGGAGGTCAGCCTGCAGGTGATCAGATCTGGCACATGGGTCTCAGCATGTAGCAGCCCTGTCTTGATGGAGCAGCTGAATTCTTCTTGGAAGAAGACGTCTAAGTGGAAGTGGCCAAGGTATAGGTAAGTGGCCGAGGTGAAGAGGAGTAAGAGGGAGTTCCTCAGGAGGTAGGTGGCCACTAACGAATGGGAGCGCTGCTTGCATGCCAGGTACCGCTCTAGCAAGGGGAATTCAAAGTACCGTTCTTTCCGGGCCCTGGGCAGGGGAAGAAAGAAGGTACTGTTAGGAAGCATCGTTTAGAACCACACCCCAAAATTAATATGAGAGACTAGCAGGTCCGTGTATCTATACAACATTAATTTTTTAACCTTTATTTTTATGTTGCACACATGGGTGGTTAGCCTGCACATCTGTCCGTGTAACTTTGGGACTGGAGTTACAGATGTGAGCAGCCATGTGAGTGCTAAGAATCAAACTCCAGTCTTCTGCAAGAGCAGCTAGTGCTTATAACTGCTGATCTGTCTCTCCAGCCCCAAGCATGATGTTTTTGGTATCCATGAAAATCCATATACCCTCCTTAATCATAACCTCAATTCTTCCCAAAGAGGAGGTGTGTGAATATGCCTCCGTTCTCCAAATATTAAATACAGTGTCTTAAATCTAGGGGCGATCAATACACTATGAATGGGCACAGTCCAAGTGAGTTCCTGCCCAGCAAGGTTAACTGGAGCTCAAAGCTGAAGTACCATCTACAAAGCTATAAACTTATGATTGGGAATATAAACAATGGAATTCTGTGTTCTGAGTATGACTTTGAGGCCAGTCCATTCGTTTTGTACAAATTAATAGTTAACTCATTGTTGAGAGTCATGCTGGTGAGGTACAGGTAAGAACGGCTCTACCTTGAGGGGAAGAGCAGTTAAGATGTGCCATCTGCAGTAAAATGGATACTTGTTGCTAAATGCACATAAGGCAGGTGAGCTGTAGCAGTTGTGAAGCTTGGGGGATGGAGTAACTGGAAGTTAGAGTGTTCAGAAACCATGAGAGAGAATATTGGCTTAATATGGGTTCCAAAATGGTAGAGGGGAACTTTTTTAAGAGGACATAGCATACACATGAGCATGAGACAGAATATACAGCCACAAATCTTAGCCGAAGTCCCCTTTTACTGGTGTCCACTGGCCATGCTCATTTAAAAAATGGTCCCATCATTTTTTTATGGGGGGTTTTGGCCTGGAACTCACAGAGATCCCCCTGCCTCGGCCTGCCGAGTGCTGGGATTAAAACGTGCACCATCGCTGCTCTGCTAAAAACTGCACCATTCTTATCTCTTAGCTTTCCAGCTCTCTTCCCCTCTGTTACCTTTTCTTCCTTCATAATGTTTGTCAGCTACTAAAACGAATTTTATGTGTGTATTCTGCTTACTTGCTGTCTGCCTTCCTTCAATAGACGCTTAGCCCACATTGGAAGTATAGTTTTGTTTCCTTTGCCCCCTCTCCTGAACACCTGCACTTGCATGTGTGCACACACACGCATACAGACGGACACACTATGTAAGCCTGGTACTTAGATAGACAAATGACTAACTCCACCAACAATTTGCTCAAGGATCAGGGGGAAACTTAGGCAAAATAGAAGATTTCTGTTGTCCAGACCCTTGGGGTCTGGGAGTCTTTCAGATTTTGGTGAGTTTTATAGCTTTGTTTTGGAATAATTGAACTACTTTACCAATGCTACTTTTTTTAAAAAAAATTGGATTTTGGAGCATTGCTCAATTTGGAGATTAGGAATACTCAAATTGTAAGTAGAAGTTTGAAAACTAGCTGACATACTTGAGGCCTTGGAGAGATATTTGAGATTTTCAACACTTTTGCTAAGCATGGGGGAGTTAACTGAGGTCTCTGAGCAAGAGAATAGTATACAGAATAATATTTTAGAGCTAGTCATCCCTGTAGCTCAGTGTTTTCATCAGTAAACTAGAGTCAGAGTCCTCTTTTCTCTACAGGCATGAGAAGGTCATCCCCTCCAGGAATAAAGGATGAACTGAGTACTTCGCTCTCTTGAGAAGGATGGCATAGAGAAAATATAAGGATGATCATGCATGGGTATCAGTTTAATGCTCCACAGAGTTCTTTAGAAAAACTTAGAACAGGCAACTCACTTCTCCAGCTCATCCCAGAAGACGTGGGGGTCGGAACTCTTCTGCCGGATCTTCAACATGTGCTGTACCAGGCGAATGGAGCGATTGTAGGACTTGTCCAGCTCACTGATGATGAACAGCAGGTCAGAGCTGAGGGCTGGCACGGCTGCATATTGCCACAGCAGCACTGGCAGATACATGGCCACAGCCAGGGCCAGTAAAGAGTAGGGGAGGGCCTGCAAGGAACAGAAGGCTGAGGAGGGAGCCCAGGGTGCTGGGCCTTGAATGACAGCTAAGTGGGATATCCACTGCTCTCCTATTCCAACTTTGGAATGGAAGAGAGTGTACATAGTTGACCACTCAAAGCTCTCTGCCCACGTGGAATAATACAGTGAGCCTGGCAGAGACATCATAGCTCCGTGTCACCCAGATCCATGGTCTATGGGTTTTCTGACCTATGGGTCTGTCTGGGCCTCCAAGGAGAAGAGAAAGAATGGAAACAGAAAAGGAATGGAGGACAGGGAGCATCTGGTAGGAAGATTTCTGCCTCCTCTGCCACAACAGTGCAGACTGAGCATCTAGCCTGAAATTATGCTCCTGATGTCCCAGGGGAGAGAAAACGTTGTTTCTTCTATGTATCCTGTCCTATGCTGGTCTTTTCTAGTCTCTGAATCCTCAGCAATGTTGAATGACACCACCTGACACTCTCTTGGAATTCTCTGGGAGTCGTTTCAGGTTTGCAGATAATGGAAAGGACCTTTAGGGATGTGTAGATCTTGTCTTCTTAGCTACACTGGTACTTGTAAAGACTCTCCACCCCCTCACATGAAGATAGGCACACATTCATGGAGAACACCAAGGGTGATGTGTCTATGAGCCAACAGCCCTCAGAGGAGCCCGTGGTGCATTATTCCACTTTATTCCACTTGTTTTTCACGAGCATGCTATGGGTGGGGTGCCATTCCCATGTCTGTTCTACAGTGGGGGACGCTGCGGCACCCACACAGTACCACACACTCAGCGGGCAGAAGAGTGAGGATATGGAGCCAGGATGGGAGGCTATGAGCTTATCCTCCTGGTGACCCCTTGACCTGAAGCTTCTTCTGAATTGCTTTGTGTTTGTAGTGCCAAGTTTAGAGGAAAAGATGGAGGGTACATCTGGTGTACGTGTGTGTCTGTCTGTCCGTCCATCGTATGTCTGAATGTTTTGTGATCTACAAAAAGGACTAGAATGGGTAAACTTGGGCCTCAGGTGAAATTATAACCATTTTACTCCTATTCAAGACATAACATCACCTCAAATAAGGCCTTCACTTCTACAGAGTGTGTTACTGGGAATGGGGTGGAGCCAGAGAATCTGGGTTTTGAGAGCTTTCTGGAGACGCTGATGGTCAGGCATTTTGACCTTTCCTAACATGAGTCTCCTCATCAGTCTGCTGACCTGCCAGTGACAGAGGCGTCCTGAACTTTCTCCACTAGCCATCTGGTTTGTCTTCTAGGGTGACAAGGAAGAACAAAGACAAAATGTAAGGACAAAGCGAATGGGAGATGATGAGGAGGCAAGAGCAGCAAAATTTTGAAAGTGAACTGCCTGATGCAGGACACGGTGTGGGGAAAGGCAGGGAGTCCAGGCAAGAACAAACTGTCTGCAACTCTGAACCAGAAAGACTCAGGAATTAGGGACACAGTGAACACAGTGAAACAAAAAAAATCAACAAGGGAATAAGTTGGTTTGAAGCAGGACACTGAAAAGGCGGTGTGAATTGCCACCCTGCAGATTTTCCTACAATGTACAACATTCAAGCAACCACCCTTTCCTGTTCCCAAAGGAAGACTTGAAGTTTTGTCTCTGGAGAGACTAAACCACTCGATGCTTGGGTCCACTATAAGCAGGAGAACTACCCTGAGGGAGGGAGGAGTGAAGTAGGAAATGCTGGGATCTACACTGAGCGAGCTCTAAATAATAGGGGCCTCGGCAGAGTTCCCAGAGGGCTAGCAGTCAGGCTGGACGGCAGCTGTATTCTAGCCCTCCCCTCGAATTAAGAAATGAACCTCTCTTTGGGACTAGATACTGACACTTGAGTTTCTTTCCAATGAAGTTTACCATCTGAAACTGCTTGTCAATGAGCCTCAGCCACAGGCACAAAACTACCACTCAGCTGAAAGTTGGAAACCTGAGCTCAGCAGGCATTTGAAGAATCCATGGACTATGAATGCCATTGGCCAGAATGAATGGGCAGGGACAGAGCGAGGTGGCAGGGAGCATAGTGGGCAGGGGTGGGGTGCAGTGGGAGGGAGCACGGTGGTTCAGTCTACCCCCGACTCCCGAGCCAGGAAGCCATTCCGATAAGGCCTGTGTCTGTTTTACCTTGTGAGGCCAGAGAGACTTCACCTTCTGCTGGCCAGCCTCGTCCAGTTTATGGTGAGCCAGGGAGTCCCAGCAGCAGCTGTCCACATAGGCAGCCTGCCTGACACTGAAGTTGCCGGGAGAGAAGCAGCTGATCGGAGACCCTGCAAAAGGAGCATAGCTCTGAGGCAGCCTTGGTTCTAGCAGAGGGAAACCAAGCATTCAAGAATTTTCCGGGGGAGGGAGCATCCTTATGACTTGGTAACTTTCCATGGTTGGCAGGCCTTGCCTTCTTCCCGAGTTTCAGCTTTCTGGGCCCTGTACTGCTGTGTCATGGGAGGACAGGTCATGATGGAATAGCACACACAGTTAGGCCTGTGCTACCAATGAGCTGACTTGGTCTTTTAGGTCTGACAGGACTTTTATTTCAAGTTCTCCCAGGCTTCCACACAGGAAGCCACCAGGGACTCCTTGTACTTGGCAGTTTACCACCAAAAATCTTGATGTTTGATAGTGACATTTCCATTCAAGAGAGATGAAGTCCTTTAAAAACACTTCTGAAATTATTACACGTGTTCGTCATGTGTGTGCATAGGCTGAGACACACTCACGGAGGCCAGCAGACGACCTGTAGGAGAAATTGCTTCTGTCTTCCCCCCATAGTTCCACCATGTATGGACTGGGGCAGCAAGTGCCTTTACCTGCTGAGGTATCTTGTCAGCCTTGTTTTGTTTCAAGACAGTCTCACTATGTGGCTCAGGCTGACTTCAAACTTGTCACCCTCCTGCCTCAGGCCCCAGAATGCTGGGACTACAGGTGTGTGCACCATACCCAGATTAGAAGATGGCTCTTTTGGTTTGTAAAAGGCAGATGACTAAGGACTGAATTCCTACATGGGAAGGAAAATGGGCTTGGACGAGAGGATCTAGCTTCCTGTTCTCAATCTTGCGGGTGAAGAAGCGGAGAGGAGGAACACCCCAGGAACTGCAGTGAGAAATTGAGGGGCCCAGCTGACTGTAGTAGGGAGCAGCAGGCTTTCTGCGGGAATCCAGTGACTACAACACTGCAAACATGCGTGTGCTGGTGTCTGTTTATGTCTAGGGTCATGTAGAAGGAACTGGGGTTTGTTGAGCAATTCTGAGCAAGGCTGCATTAACTCTGCCATTGGGGGTGGGAAGAGAGCTCAGGGGAAAAAGTTTGTTCTCAGTGGGCTAAGAGGAAGGGATTTCAAGTTCTGAAAAGATTAAAGTCCCAATGTTTCCTATCTATGGAAGCCAAAGTGATAGTTATATCATTGATTTGACATAAAATGTGTGACTGCTAAAGTGACAACTAATTGTTATTTTAAATTTCTATTTTATTTTTTAGTTTCAGGTATATAGCATGTTGAGCACATTCTCCTTCACGCTCTCCACCCTCCCCTTGCTCGTACACCCTCCCCTCCTGCTGTTGGGTTCACTGCAATTAATTATTTTTCATTGTAAGCTTTTCAAGGTAGTAGAGAGCAGCAGGTTCTGCTTCTGTTTTGCCAGCGCCCTAGACTCACTCCTGACCTGCCTCTCGGGAATCCAGTCCAGCCCAAAGCCATGAAACCTACTTAAGACAGGAGCTGGCTCTCACTCAGTGGACAGTGGAATGAAGTCGGGTCTCTCTTACCTGATGAGAACTCCTGGGCAAAAGCCAGAGACATCAGCAGCAAGGGGAAGCCCACCGTAACGAACTTGAGGATCTTGTCCAGGGGCAATTCCAGCCGCAGTCCTTTGAGGCGAGAGCCCCGGCGGTCAGGCAGCAGGGCATCAGAGAGCATATACTCTGCAGCTGTGTGTGCGAGAGACATGCTGCTGCCGAGCTATGGGGTGCAGAGGACGCTGCTACCCTTAGCAGTCCGGGGAAAGTGGGGTGAAGCGGTGACAGTTTCACACAGCTAGTTTGTAGCCGACAGTGCCACAGCCCCGGTCTCACACGTCTATGCTTAGGACCAGGCAATGGTTCTCTGCAAAACTGTCCAGGCTCTGAGCCAGGCACTCTGGCAATTGGAGGGAGGCGTAGCCTCGGTGGGTCCTCACTGGAGGAGGGTCAGGCTTCACGTGTGGCTGGTGCCAGGCTGCTTGCCTGGGTTGTCTCCCAGCAGACTAAGCCCTGTGGCTTTATTCTGCCCTCTGATTAATATGGTATTTTCGGCCGAGTGGTCGAGAGAAGGAGGAACCGTGTGCTCAGCCCCCCATGTAATTGGTGTGGAATTTGGGTGGAGATTGCTTAAATGTGTTGAAGGCTCTCATTTTGTGGTTTGGGATGGGAACGGAGCCCCCAGCATTCAGTGAGGATAGTTACCCCTATAGAGCAGGCTTTGTCCCAGTGATGAGTTTTGCTTAAGGGCCAGACTTCTTCCAAGAAACTGTCCTGTATTTGATGTTAACTGTCCTTCCTCCACTCTGGTCTTCCTTCAATGGTGTATTTACAACTTTCAGCTCTGATGAGCTTGCCCTTTCCTTAGGAAACTGAGGGAGGCCTGACAGTACAGTGTGGAGTAGTGGGAAGAGCATGACCTTTGAACTTTGGAAGGAAAAGTTATCCCTGGAGATCCAACAGTGCTTATTTTTCAACTGTATTCTTTCAGACAAGTTGTTTTGTCTAAGTTTTCTCTTCTCTCAGGGTTCAGTCTGTCAGAAACCACGGGCCTTGGATGTGTGTATGAGAACACACTAGCTAAATTGTAAAGAGCACAGGGTATGCCCTACATTTTGGCAACTGTTCGCAGGCCCAGGTTGGAAGGGCTTGACCACCAGCCCGTGACACTCTGGAGTAGAGGTGGAGCAATTAAAAGGACACTGGGCACGTCCTTGATGGGGGCATTGGAATCCTCAGGCCCTTTGTCTTGCCCTTGCTTCCTGGCCACCATGAAGCAAGCAGGTTTTTTTTTTTTTTTTTTTTATTTCCCTGTGTACTTCTGCCACGAGTCACTGTGGCACCACAGGCCCAATACTACAGAGCAAAGTGATGGCTGATTCTGGAACAATGAGCTAAGTAAACATACCCTCCCTTTGTGTTATCCCTTTTGCAGTGAGGAGGCCTCAGGTGCGATGATCTCTACCCCTGTCTCAACCTTTCTTCCCTTTAAGTTGATTGTATGTGGTTATTTTGTCATCCTAACAGCAAGTGGGCTAGTACAAGTATCAGTCAAGTTGATATGTGGTTGGGTTGGGGAACAAGACAATCTTGTGTATAGTTTTGCCCTTAAACGTGGAAATGAAGGCCCTTAAGTAGCCTCCTTTTGGCTTTCTTTGGCTGTGTTATCTCTGGGGGTAAGGAGCATGTGGACTGATGGGATGCACCCACTATGTGTTATGCAGAGCCTGTGTGCTATTCAAACTGCTTACCCACAGGCCTTGGCTTGCTTCCAGGGCCCTTTCCTCAGGCTCAGGCACACCTTCTGAAGGTCTGACTGTGTGGGTATATTATACTCAAGGTCTAAGGAACAGCTACTTAGTAAGTATGGTTGGAGTTTGAAAGTCCTGACATGCCCAAGCATGCAATTGTGAGCCCCCCTCCTTTAGTGTGGAACTTTGCTGTACTGGGATAGAGACCTGGGATAATACAATGATTCTAAATTGAACCTAACATTGGTGATCCTTATGAAGTGTGTGTGTGTGTGTGTCTGTCTGTGTGAAGCTAGGTAGGTAGAACATGTACAACAACCTGTTAGCTTGTTGGTAGTTTTTCATTTTTTAGATATATGTAGTATATGAGTCTCTATAAACACTTTTATTTCTGTTGTCACAGATGTTTAGATTGGGCCAGCCTTTCCCCCATCTCACTGGTTAGGGGTTCACCTTAATTTAGAGTTGCCCCATGAATGCTAATGATTTAGGTATCTAGACTGCAAAAGGAATGCTTTTTTTCTGTCCTCCACTATCCTTTCTGGATTCTCATTTTTGTATCTTTTAATTATATGCATTTTTGTCAGTATTTATGGTATATGTTATACACATATAGTCTTTATTTGTATTTTTGAGGTATACTATATATACATGTAACATGCTTACATGTGCAGTTTGGTAATGTGTAATCAGAGTTTCTGTCCTGCCTGGCCCCACAACCACTTTGCTCCAAATAAACACACAGAGACTTATATTATTTATAAACTATAAACTGATTTCCCAGTGGTTTAGAGACTTATATTATTTATAAACCCTTTTTCTGATGGCTTAGGCTTTTAACAGACTCGCTCTGTTTAATTATTAACCCTTAACTCATAACTATTAATCTATGTATTTGTTTGTTTTCTTTTCCTTCTTTCCTTCTTTCTTTCTTTCCTTCTTTCTTTCTTTCTTTCTTTCTTTCTTTCTTTCTTCCTTTCTTTCTTTTTTTCCTTTCTTTTTTTTTGAGACAGGGTTTCTCTGTGGCTTTGGAGGCTGTCCTGGAACTAGCTCTTGTAGACCAGGCTGGTCTCAAACTCACAGAGATCCACTGCCACTGCCTCCCGAGTGCTGGGATTAAAGGTGTGCGCCACCACCGCCAGGCTGTATTTCTTTTTTTTTTTTAAACCACAAAGCAACCAATTTTATTAAGTTTAACAGTTTCTCCGATACAAAGAGGAACATCAAAAGAAAACCTACGACATGTGCACATGTAACCTTCCTCCAATCTATGATAACCTAAGAGGAGAAAAAGGACAAAGCTCTCTTCCATAGAGAAAGGTATCTTCGCTTTTGGGAGACGCTTCCACGCCCCATTCCATGTCCTCTTCCTCTTTCAGCCACTTGGGCCATCAGGATAGCAGCTTTCCCTTGGCGAGGCCCGGACCTTGATGCTTATTTTTCATACTCTTTAACATGGGTGCGGCTTTCAGCCTGTCAGGCAAAGTCAGATCTTGCTGCCACGTATGCACACCTGCTCCAGCTGTGCCACTCGGCCATCTCTGTTGGTGACTGTGACGTTGAACATCTGGCAGTTCATGTTGTCCTCTGCTTCAGTGAGCTTCCCTTGATAGACCTCACAGTGTTGGTCTCACATATCACAATGTGGCCCTCAGCCTCGTGCAAGACTTTAATCGGCACACCGATAGACATCTCGGCAGGTGTGGTTCGCCACCTCTCCTCACCAAGTAACTGCAGGCTCCTTTTCGGTTCTGGCACAAATGTTAGAAGGCGAAGGCGCCAAGTGAGGGAATGGCGGCCCCGGGTACCCAGACTTAATCTGTATTTCTACATGGCCTTATCTTACTGTAGAAGGCTCCAGCGTGTTACTCCTTGGGGGGCTGCATGGAGTCCACCTCGAGACTGTGTGTCCTCTCCCCAGAATTCTCCTTATCTCGTAGCCCCGCCTATTCTTCCTGCTTGGCTACTGGACAATCAGCGTTTTATACATCAACCAATAAGAGAAACATGCGAACAGAAGGATATCCCCCATCAATAATGTTTTATCTGAACAAGAAGCAGAACATTTGACTCCTCAGATACTTCAATATGTTTCTTCTAATAGTTCTCACTTTCCCTAAGTTCACTTCTAGTAGCATAGATTAGTTTCGCGACTTTAATACCTTAAAGATGAAGGGCCAGGGGTATAGCTCAGTGGTAAAACAGTTGCCTAGCTTTTGTGAGGCCCTGGGTTCAACCACTCTCTGTAACCTCCATCCCTTTCCCCACCCCATAAAAAAGAAAGAATAGCTCTTACTTTGTATTCTGAGATGGCTTAGAGGGAAAAGATTTATTTGCTGCCAAATGTGACTCCTATGTCTATGGAAATTATCCAGCTTGTTGCTTGTTTTTGTACTCTATATTCATGAAATTCTATGAATTTCTTGGTATTTGGATTCACAGTTAAAAATACCTTTGAGATTCATCCAAAGGTATTTTGTTATGTGAATCCGATATCTATCCAATCTTATTGTAGAAATGTATATATATCTACGCTTTCATAGACTGATAGTCATTTGAGTTTCCAGGTTCTGACCATTGAAATGATGTTTCTGTGAACCTTGTAATATGCATCTTGTGACGGGCATATGTGTGTACTTACTTTGGATATATCCTTAGAAGAGGACTGCTGGTCACAATGCCATGCATATACTCACCTTTGTATTTTTCCAAGTGGGTGTTCATACATTCACCCACAGTGTCTGAGAATCCTAAGAGGCACACCCCTCTCTGTCAGTGTTATTTTTTTTCAATGAAAAAAATTTTAAGACATTTTGGAATGTAATACATTGTGGTTTTAACTTGAAATTTCTTTGATGACTAGTCCGTCACTTAGATGCCAGTTATTTATGAAGTGTGTGCTTAAGAGTTTGGTTGCTTGTTTCAGTTGGGTTTTCTATATTTTAATACTCTGAAACTATTTTGAGAAATATGTTTTATTCAATGTTCTCTTGTTGTCCATTGGTTGCATTTTCTTTTCTGATGTCTTGAAATTCTCATTCTACTACATTTAAATTTTATTTTTTATTTATTCTTCTCTCATCCAATACACCCTGACAACAGTTTCCCCTCCCTCCACTCCTCCCAGTGCCCCTACCTCCTCTCTCCTCCAGATCCACTCCTCCTCCCTTCAGAAAAGAACAGGCCTCCCAGGGAGATCAGCTGAACACAGTAAGACCAAGCACAAACCATCAAGGCTGGATGAGGCAACCCAGTAGGAGGAAAAGGGCCCCAAGCTACATCTTAAAAGAACAAAACAGTCGAGGCCAGGCTGGACCGACAGCCTCCAAAACAATACAGAGAAACCCTGTCTCGTAAAAAAACAAAACAAAACAAAACAAAACAAATACCCAAAAAATACCCAAAAAACAAAAAACCAAAAAAAAAAAAAAACCCAAAACAGAACTGAAAGTACGTTATGTGCTCTATGTAGTAGCCTATCAGTTATTCCAGCATTAAGAAAAAAAATCCTCAAGTGTTCTCTAATATATTTTTGCATCCTATTTCTCTTTGTG